CAAGGAATGAGTCCAGCTGCTCCTTTCTGTTTTTCTTTAAGAAGATGTAGATCTTTCAAAATCCACGTACAAGGAGTAATGACACGGCTGACTGGTGATTGTGCACACAGGTCTCTTTGACCTATTGGCACTTCCTCACGTAAGAGAGACTCCCTGTACAGAAAGTCATCTCATCAGGAGGTTGGGCCCTTGAGATTTTCTACTTGAAAGGTTTTTCTTTAAACAGCCTTCCTGGTGGAAAAATATGGCGTAGCAGAACAAAGAGAAGCATATGAATTTTCTGCTTTAATAATTAGAACTTTTACGGGGTTTAGGCTAGAGCAGATTCTACCTCTTTTTAAAAAGCATTTTCTTATTTTCTGGGTGACAAGATAGTTCAGAAGAGGCCACTGCATGCTTAATACTGAAGTCTCTATAACCTTGAAATTACATGAAATTACATACCCAGTAACCTTATCCACCATGACTGAAAGTTACTACAAGCCAAAAGAAAGGCTAAGAGATAGGGCAAGAAAACAAATTAAGGTGGGAATCTAAGCAACCTTGGCCTAGGGTTTTTTGTGTGGAAAGTAGAATTAGACACCCAGGAACTACCTGCCCTTACATTTTGCTCAGACTCTCAGACTTGTACTTTTAATGAGAAGAATGATCATACATATCCCATAGATTCTAGAAAAAAAGGGCAAGAAGTGCTCAGCTACATTAGTCCAAATGGACAAGCTGTTGAAATTTAACTGCGGTGTCAGGTCACAGGCACTGTGTAAAGCCACATTCCTTGATCACTGTTCCTGTTGCCTTTTGTTACTGCTTAAAAGAAAGCTGCATGGAGCACAGGTGCTTCGTCTTGGTGCCAGATCTGTAATACTTTCTCTCTGCTTGAGTTTTCTCAAAGTCTTGGGGTAATGGTAACCACCACATCACAGTGGTGGTTTTTACTGTTCTAGAGACTAGTCTGTGAAAAGAATTCAAGCATTTCATGTAAGAGTGCTGAAGAACTGGAACATTAAAGGGAATTCAGTTTGTATGGAACAGATTTTAGAAACATGAAGCTGAAAAAGAACTTACAGGATTTTCCATATTAGTGATGGAAATATGGATTAGGTAGCCTGTTTGGGCCTGTTTGAACCTTAGTCTGGGAGGTTACCAGTTAAGAACACAGGTGTTTGTGGCAGCCTGAAAAGAATTAGATAATTTTAGAAATTTGTCCCTGCATAAGGGCTCTCAACTTTAAGAACACATTCTGCCTTAAAATACCCCCCTACCCCTCAAAGCTTCTGCTGAGAGGTGAAATTTCAGGAATTGTGTATCAGTGTTGTAGTTATTTAAAAGTATTTCATATTTTGTCAGACCTAAAACTACAAGAATGTTATTTCCTATGATCTCAGAGTTTGTAAGTCTATTTCTGTTTTTTTCCCAGTATCTGAGTTTGCTTTTCCAGACTAGTGAAACAGTGTATAACAAGCACAGTAACTCCATGATTATTTACTTAGGGCTTTGCCTTTTGCTAAAGACCTTTCACTAGGTCTTATGTGCAGAGTTGCATGTGCTTAGTTCAGTGAAGTGTGGTTTAGCAAAATACACTCAAATGGTAAACACACTGAAAATTTTATCTTACCCTTCCCACAGCCCAAAATAATTCAATTAAAGAACATAGTTAGATCAGAAAAAAAGGTAGTTATTAGATCAGAAGCCCCTAACTTGTATTATTTTGGGAAGAATTCTTCTTGGTTTGCATGTGGTTTTTCCCCTCTTTCTGAATCCCGTCTGCCTCACCTCAGATAGCTGCAGTGATTTTTTCCATATTGCTAACAAGTACTTTCCTTTCTGTCTCTGGTGCTCTCAAAACACTTATCCAGTAATGCTTCATAAAACAACTGTGCTCTTTTTATCAGCAAATCTTCTGTGAACTCCTTTTTAACTGCAGATGGAAGTTCTCACTGTGTTGCTGAAGAGTCCTATGAACAACACTGAGTTTCCAGTGCATCTTCAGGTAACTACAAGGAAATTGTTTGAGATTCAAACTATCTCGGATGAGAAGACTACAAGTAGGAATGAAACCCATGTGATATTGGACAGCAGGAGCTGGGACCTTGGGGTTTTAGGTCTTCAAAGGCTGTGTGGCTGGAAGTCCTACTGGCCTCCCAAGAAAGCTTCCCCATTTTTCAAGACAAAAATTGAAACTGCTAAGTACTGGGAAAGGAAGAAAAAGAAACAAAACAAAGAGAAACCCCTCACCATCAATGAACATAGATAGAAAGTCTGGAGGAGATGGGCACAGGACTCAGGCATGGAGACAAGACGTGGGCTCTTGCTACTGCTCCCTTTTTGCTAGACTCCAGAAGACAAGGCAATTCCTGGAGAATGGAGTAATTCTTTGAGGACAGAGAGAGTCAAGCCCACTCCTTTCCAGTACTAATGCTTTCTATGAAGCAGAAAAGGGTCCTCTGTGGTAGGTCCTGCCTGGAGCACAATGGGATCAGAAAATTCCACCATCTCCTGAGTCCCTAATGGGCTGACATCACCCTTTCAGAGAGGGCAATGAGAGACATTTCCTTCGTTTTTTTCCTGAGTTTTCCAGAAGAATCTATTCTTGTGGCCTGCAGACCCAACAGCTCTTGCTTAGGAAACAAAATGCTTCCTGGGATCAGATAATACAGATCTCAATTTACTTCCAAGAGGGCTGTGGAGGGGACCAAAAGTGTTGCTCACTGCCACTACTACTGTTTGTAGCGATACACAGTTGAGGGTTCTTTCCTTTCTTTCACTCCTAAATACTACTGGTGGATTTCTCCACTGGAGAAAGTTTAATCTGCTCAACTCTGTCATCCAGTTCCACTGGAAATGCAGGCGCAAATTGAACCACAAAGTCCTAAGATGACTAAGAGTGCAGAACAGGGTGGAGGTTTGACCTGGAACTGCCAAGCACTTGTAAGTAAGAATTCTCTGACAGTGTGTGCTTGTGAACCTGGTTATGGGCAGCATTGACCCAGCACTAAAACCGAGAAGGCTGCCATAAGCCAGAGCACTGTGGCAAACACCTTGCATGTAAATTCCTGTCAGAATAATCTTTTTTCCAATGCTTACTAAGAGCATATAAATAACTGTGGGGAGAGATCAGCCATTCATTTTTCTCAGAGATAAATCCCTCTGAATGGTGAAATAGAAACTCCCTTTCGAGGCAGCTTGCTTTTTTGGTATGAAGTGACTTTACATTCTCAGCCATAGACTGCCCTGCAGTGGTGAAGCCAGAATCTGCAGCCTTACTGACTTTTACCCAGGATCTTTAGAATTCCTCATTAAGAAGTAGTTTGCTGATCACTAGAAGGGACAGAAAGAGCCTGTGCAAACTACAGAAAATGAAAAATAAATGAAGCAAGGAAGATTTTATATTTCAGTGTAAATACAGTGTGCAGCAAAATGCCACTACTGACTGCTCATATTTTATCTCTTTTTCATAGGAAACAAGATAGATTTGATCACACCTTGTATCTGTCTCTGGAATTTATTTGCTGACTTCAGCCAAATTTAACTACAAAAGTGAAAATCTCAAAGTTGGCTAAATGTCAACAGATTTTGAGAAAAGCAGTTTTTGCAAAACCTCAAGGAAATGTATGGTTCTAGTGTCAGCACAGAAATTGTCAGATAACAAAAAATCCACAGAGGAGAGTGACTTTGTAAGTACCCTGGGAGAAAACTCTCAGTCACATCTTACATTCAATATAGAGATAGAAATCCTTAGAAACCTGTACTAAAGCAGAAACTGGGCTTCATTAATTTTGCAGCTTGCTCTGTAAACTGACAAAACTTCCTTCTTGTTAGATCAGCTACCACTCCAACTCCAGAGAAATCTGCTTTCCAATCATAGTATTGTAATGCTGAAAAAAATGTGGAGTTTCAATTTCTGCACATCCTGATCAGTCTTATAAAAAGGCAGAAATCTTATCTGCCTTTTAAGCTGCAGCATATTTGATAGATTACTAGTGGCAAAAAATGGTGCGACCAATCCTCTAGGTAGCAAAGATGCCAGTTTTGAGGCTGGCTATTGCCAATAAAGATTTCATTAATGAAGACGAAATAAACCAAAAACACTTTTTTTTTCACTACAACAGGTGTGGTTTACCCTAATTGTACTCTAAGATGATTCAAGAGAAATGAACATCTTCCAGTTACCTGCTTCAGCTCCCCTTACAAGAAGATAAACAGGCAGTCCCTTAGATATGTCCTTTGTTGTGAAACACATGAATATCTAAAATGGCTATTGCTTTCCATTTTCTGCAGAGAAGGCCTAGGATTACTAGCTTAGTGATGGGCATCTGTTTTGAAAATGTTGGAATTTGGAGAGCTCTTACTACAGTAGTAACTAGACGTTCTGAAAGCACTGTGAGTGAACTTCACATAGCTGAGGGGCTACCTTTTTAGTGAAAATACATAATTGAGATGAACTGAGACAGTTCTAACATACAGAGGCCTGCTAAAGTAAGTTCTGGTGCTGAACTAGAAGCTTCTCCGAGTCATCTGAATAATTTCATGATCATTATTCATCTTTGCCTTTGTTCTGGCAGAGAGCATCATCTTCTCTCTCACCTTATAGACTGGGTCTTTTGAACAGCATAATCTGATCAGCTTTTAAGGAGCCAGGAGTAGATACCCCAAAAATTTAGGAAATCACTTGACTTCCTATAACTTGAAAAAGAACTTCTCTCTTCAAACTCAAACTCATCAAGAGTGTACAAGAATAAGTACAAAAGCCATGCTTTTTGAGATGTGCTTTTAATCATTCACAGAAAAATAAGCAGATTTGAAAAGGACCCAAGAGGCTGTGCACTTGTAAGAATACAAAGTTGTGTTCTTATTTTGTGCACAAATAAATAGGGCACTGTCAAATTAATTAGAGAACAAACAGGAGGCAGTTACTGGGAAAAGTAAAGTTCAAAAGTAGTCAAGGAAGGTAAGAATGGTTCACAGTCCTTTTAGTTAATGATGCCAGGGGTTTTTTGCCTTCATTTTGATGTTAAGCTGATGGCTCTCTTGATCCGGTTCAGAGTGCTTGCCTTGTCATTTTCTTCATTGTTCTGCAGCTCATTAGACTTTGGCCTGCTGCATTCAGTGTCCTGACAGCTGCAGCTCTCCACGTAGACGTACTTGTGTGACATTGAGCGCCCACCGGGGCATCTCAGAACCACGTGCTTCTCAGTGGTCTGTGTTTCTCTGCAGCAGGAGCAGCTGTGGTCCATAGAATTGGCCTCAGCAGAGTATCTGTTAACATGTAAAACAGCAACGTTACTCTGTGCCAGAAGTCAATGTACAGGAGAGAGTGAAATCAGGTACAGAACTCTCGTGAGAAGAGCTGCAGTTGTGGCTAATGGAAGTGTTAAGCTCTCTGACAGAACACTGATTATAAAATGCATAACCCAATCAGGGCAGTGTTAACATGAAGGGGAAGCAGCGGCTCTTTCTGTTCCTGTCTCACAGCAAAGTATTTTTTGCAGCCTTGTGTTCATCAGCTTCCTAAGCACCATTCCTAACCTGAAGGATCTGTCAATATCAGGACATAAACTGTGACAACATCCTTCTTTTTCTTGTATTTGGTAGAAGCAATCACAGCAAGACCCTGAGATGATCAGGAATTTCAAAATACTAATGAACTGCCTGGCTTCTCAGAGTTCCATGTGATACTAAAGATCAGTTTTCATCCATGTAAGGTACATTGTGGCAGACTTAGTGATAGGAAGTGACAGTTTCTTTGGAGAGTTAAACACTGTTTTTCCAGTGTTTTAGTAGCTCACTAACAGGTGTCCTACTAACCACTTCCTTATAGCCACTTTTCAATATATTCTCTCACTTCAGAGAAAAATGCACAGTCAAGTTACTCTACTAACACCTCACCTAAAGCATTCATTTTCTCATTTCTTCCCTGTAAAAAAATTATGCATATTTGAATCTTCCTTTAAAAGATGTATATGTATTTTAGTTTAGGAGTTAACTATTGAAAAGCAGCTTTTCCACTTCCAGTTGCCAAGTCTGGCTGCTCTCTGGGCTCATTCTCATTATAGGAAATAAACCATGTTCTTTTGTGACAATTTCTAGCCTAGGTGGTCTGACACAAAGCCAGTTCTTAGTGGATAAATAGGTCTTATCAGAGCTGTCTGAATCCAAAGACAATTTAATACACTTTTCTGCTTTGTATTATGACAAATCAACCGGTCAGTCACAGATTCCATTATTTTATGTCCTTGAATCAGGAAGCAGATAGTTCCAGGTCTTCTACAATTGTGTAGTCTACTATTTATTGTTCCTTTTATATAAACAAGCTCAGTGTTACCAGGACTTAAATCTCATTGTCTGTTGAGTTTACTTACAGCGAGAAGGTTCCACATGTTCCTTCACATTCAGTCAAGTCGACTCTGTCCACGGAGCGGCAGCCACGGTAGACAATGAAGTCTTGTCTGTGGCGCACAGAGCACGGTGTGCGGCTGTCCAGAGGGGCACCTACAGGGAGAGAGCAGAAAATGCTTTCAGTGAAACAGATCCAGAAATCCCTCGCACCCCAGCATTCCCTGGGCTTCACTGGTGTACTCAATTGCCTTAAGTGGTCTTTCTGCTGCAGCTTAAATTTCTCCAGAGAGATTGGACAGTGAAGACTTGGAATGACAAATATAAATATAAAAGTATCTATTTAAATACAAATTTATCTGGAAAATGGGCTGATTTAAGAGGACAATTCATTCTCTGTATTATTGATTCAGATACACTGGCATACTTACAGGTTCTGCAACAACCATTAGGTAAGAACGAAATAGTTCCCTGAAAGAAAAAAGAAACAGAAAAAAAATACATTATATAATTTTTCTATATTAAATAGGCATTAAGGCAAAAAACTGAGGAGAGCAATTCATCAATGGCAGGAAATAACCAGTGAAAACTGTGACATTGATCTAAATAAGGAAAGACAACATCCTCTGCCCAAAACTTGAAATCTATCAATTTACAAAGGACTGTGAAAATAAAACCAATTCTTTGAAGGAAGTCTACAGTTAACATCATGCAATTTTTCCTCAGAAGCAATTCCAACAAATGGTTTCTCAGAGTCCTCTGTATTTGAATAAGTACTATGCAGGTGTTACTGGCAGTCTACTGACTGAATAGCTTGTGTTTCTGTGACATCCAAGGAAACCTGGTTCTTGCTGAAACAGAGCTCCAAACAAAGCAGTCAGCAAAGATTCAGCATCTCAGTGTTGACCAGTATTTTGGCTACTGAGAGACAGCTACCAGTTATAAACCTTGAATCCTCACCCAGGTATCTTATTTTATACACTCTAAAGGGCTGTGCATAGATGTATCTGGAACTTTTGCCCTTAGGACTGAGAAATTATGACAAAAGGCCATTAGAGCTAAATTTTACTTTTGTTGTTAGATAGACGGCTGAACTAAACTGAAGTATGAATGAACTATGAAGTATGAACTGAATCTATGTATGGAGTAGAGGGTAAATTTTCCATTTTTACTTACAGGTTTGCAGCTGTCCTCATTGAATGCTGGACAGGTAATCTCAGATGTGGAAGCAATAAGCTGGTTATGGACATCTACACAGCTATAAATGGTGCAGTTGTTGTGAGGATCATTTTTAAAGTCTCCAGGCTGCAAGTGAAATGCATAATGTAATAAGGAAAGCTGAAGGGAGCTCAAACAGAAATTTTCTTGCCCTCTCATAATGACTTTCTTCTTGTTTCCCAGTCAATTATTTCTAGGTTAAAAGCTATTTGAGATACAGATCATGATATGTATTGCAATATGCCATACATGGAGAGAATTTCAGTTTATGATATTTTCCTCAAGAAAGAAAAATGTCTCTAAAGTACATAGAGTACCTTAACAAAATCATCCATGCCAATAGATTTTGCCTTCAAAAAGCTAGACTGTTTTATGTTAATTAAGAAAAACCCTAAGCCTTCATCCTACTAGGGCAATAGAATTATTTCATATGCAGACTTTAATAGTGTTTTTCAGTATACAGAAATCATATAACATAGAAAAGCCCAAGCTTCCAGACACTGGAAGAAAAACCCTTCCAGTGGTATTGGATTTCTCATTCCAGGAATGGCCTTTACAGATAATTTTATTTCATGAGATCTACCTTCAGGTCAAAAAATTGTAGCTAGGTTTTGCTTTAGATGATATTTTGATCTTTCAGGTGCAAACTAAAGCCTTGTTTCTGGCAAGGAGATGTTCCCTTTCTGGAACTGGGAACTTTACATATTTGGTGGAGAAAGAGAATACATAGAGTATACTTACACTCAAGATGAGTTCAGAATTGTCTGCTGTGTGTATAATACACTTGGTCTGCACACATTTTCCACAGCATTCACCTTTCACTGGTTTAATTTCATATCCCTAAAAATTAAAATTAATTAATTAACTAAATTAATTAAAAACAAGAGCACTATGATAGATGAATTTTTGAGAAATAAATGAAAACATACTATTCCATTAATTGATTACACTTTGAAGTGCACTCTGGATTTGTGCCTTTTTTGTGTTCCAACAAACAGAAGACAAGTAATAGAAGCAGGTTATAAATGGAATAAATTAAAGCACTGGAATAAATATGCATAATAATTAAATATCACTCCACATAGTGGTCTACAGAAATTTCCCAGCTAATTCTGCCAGTGTGAACGGAATGCTGGCAGTTACACAGTGAATCTCAGGCAGTAGATTGCTCGAAGAACTGTTGATATCCATGCTGGAGTTGGTCTCTGGGTTTCAACTGTCCTTTGCTTAATACCACCCATTGATCAAACAGGTGTTCATACATATGGGAATTCTGGGGTCTTTTGTTTCTTTAACTTTGCCACTTACTGGTTGACAGTATGTGTTGCAGGGGACACGTTCACAGGAGATGATATTCAGTTGAGTGCTGACGTTAACATCATTTGTGCAGAAACAATTCTGACACTTGTCAACAAAGACTGAGGAGTTGGGCTACATATTTAAGGAAAAAAATCACATATTACTGAGATATTACATGTTTAACAGACATCAGTAAATGAAGCAATGGAAAAGGAAAAAAACTGTAAAGACAACTGGATAGCTATTTGGCTAGCCATTTATGAAGGCATTTTAATACTGAATATAATTTAATGTGTGTCTTTATTGAAGTCCTGTATAGCAATGACAAACTCTGATATTAAAAGAACAGGTACAATTACTAAACCCAAGAGAATTTATTAGAAATCTAGGTTTAGTTAGAATAATACTTATTTGTATGTCTTTTAATTTTAACTGCAATAATGTGCTGACAGTAAATGTGGACTGACTTTTTAAAATTCCAGCACAGTTAACCTAAATTCCTCTATGATACTGACATACATGTAGCTCTTCAATTTCATTCCTACACAGGAAACTTTTCAGAAGAGGTTTAGGCTGTGTGAAATTGATAAACTTCTGACAGAAATATGAAAATTTCTAAAATATTTGTTCTACTGGTTAAACTTTTCCACAGCACTTCTGATCAAGTACACTAAGTGTTTTTTAAGCATTTTTAGAAGACTGTTGAAACAGGAACTTACCAAGAACTCAGCATTCTCGTGTACGCAAACCCCCTTGGGAACTGTTAATAAGCACGGATTTAGATGTTTAGATAGGAAAAAAGAATAACAAATGTCTTCAACCCACTCTAACCAACATAATTTCTTCCACAATGAATCACAATTCATATGGTTATTCCCCAATTCTGGTATGAGATAGGATATGTATAAAGTATAAAAACTAATACTGCATGTGCAAGAAGGGACAAAGATTTGTCCCAAAATACATGGTCCAGTTCATAGCCAAGAATGTCCTTGTTTCAGTTACCAAGAACTGTAAATCTGTCTTCTGCTGGGGATGCTTCTAGACACTTTTTGCTAGATTAAGCTGAGACCATCATCCCAGTTAATTCTGTAGCTGTTATTACATGTATTTATAAGCAGGAAATTGAACTCGAGTCATTTGAGCTATATCTGATTTCCTATAACTATAGCACTAATAGCCAATTTTAATAGTAGTGCATTTGTAGAATCTGATTGTGTTTAAAACCTTTTTCAGCAGGCTATTGCATACAGTCTCATTAAGGGTAATGCTAAATTATGTAATAAATAAAACTGTGAGGCTATTCATTATAATATGTTTCCAAGGGACTTACCACATTGGTATACAGGACAGCACTGACCACTGGGAATATAAGAATGAACTTCGAATCCCAGTGAGCACTTGGGGGCTTTAGCTGTGCACAAGCTTGTATTGCATTCTGAGGAGAAAAAACAACAACAACAACAAAAAAGAATAAGCCAGAAAGTACACTAAATCACAGCTATTAGAAATAAGCACTTATTAAAGCTCTTAGGATGAACTTTCCATTGCTAGGAAACAGTCCAGATTCTCTTCAAAGAAACAAATTGCAGATAGGGAACATGTTTTTCCTCATAAATCCAGGCACTGGATATTGGGTGATGTATTAGTTTATGAATTTTTTTCTACTATGCAATTATCCTGTGTTGATAAAGTATCACAATTCTATGCAAAGAAGTAGAGAACTCCTACTCTCTCCAGGATTTTAGGCAACTGCTGGAAAATGAAAATCCATGGAGAATTCCATAATCTCTTTGCATTTTGCTTAAATAAAATGTGCCCCTGAAGACAAGAACTATAGCTTGAGGTATGTTGAGTCCCATAACTGTAAATTCAGTTGTACTGAATCACTGCAATATAAAAATGTATTTTCCCTAGCACTGGGCAAGTTGATTTTAAAAAGCATGAGGAAAGATACTATTTTGTGACTCCCTGCTATAGATCTCTGGTACTAAGGTAGCTCAGTGTTTTTCCTATCTATTTCCAAGAGGTAGAGAAAGACTAGAAACAAAAGTATAAACTCACTGCAAGTGAAAAGAGGGCAGCAGGAGTCTTTAGGATTGACTTCAGTGACCTCATAGAAGCCTTCTCCATCACAGGTGACATTCTTTTGTTCACATATGTGAGGCTTACACACAATGCCATGTTCACCTTCCAGGCAAATACAGTCCTGACAGTCCACTGTAAACTCTTCTCCAAACTGCCATTGAAAAACAATAAAATGAATGATTGCATAGTAACCAATTAAAAGGAACAGAAGTAAAATCAGGAATACAAAGTTTGGAGATGATAAAACAAGATTGTATCAGTGGAGATCACTCTCCTCTCCCCACCCAAACTTCTACTTGATATCCAAAAACATACAGCATCCTACCTCTCTTGGTATCATATCCACTCCTACACAGCCTGGAAAATACCAAAATAAATTTCCATTACCAGTGGAATATATAACAGGAGGCATCTCTACTATACATTGTATGAGCACTGCATACAGTCAAAACTATGTTGCATACATGTAAGAAAATGAAAAGGAAACAAACATGCATCCAAGTGAAGCAGTAAAACTCACCACAGGTTTTCACACAGACATCCACACCAGAGTCATACAGCATGGTTCCATTAGGACAGAAACAGCCTTCCACTTGTTTAGTTGATGTGTTGTTCTGTCCTCTGTGAGACAAAATGGACAGAGGAACACCATTAATGTTGTAGGCACATACAGGAGGATTATGCCAAATAACCTTTCACTGAAAATACAGTAGCAAATAATCTGCACATTTTTGATTGGAGGTTGTCTGTGTCTTGTGTTTGATATAGTCAAACAACAGAAACAGTTCAGGCACCCAGATTTAGGGTCAGCAGAACAGTGCTAATAAATTTGACAGTCAGTTTAAGATGTGAGAGGAGGCTGATTTTTCACCTGTGCATTAGATATGACTGAATAGTTGTACAAGCTATAACTAACTGCGAAGGAATTTTTTACCTTGATTTGCAGGTCATCTCTTTAATAGGACCACATGCTCTGTATTCTTTACCTGGAGGACATTCATGAGCTGGAATGGAAGAACAAAAAGGAGGAACAGCTCAGTAACAATATCATATAAAAGCCACATGACCTTTTGCAAAGAACTTAAACACTGTTTACTCATTTTCCTATGTATCCATGACAATCTTGAGAAGCAAAAAGGAAAAAATCCCAGATAGACTCATATCTCTAAAAGGAATAATTTTGTGCAATTTAGTGACAGAGATATAGTACTGTACTTTACACTAAGGTGATACGTCTTGATTACAATTTTTTCCCATAATTTCAGTCTCTTTTGCACAAGTTCTCAAAGGGGAATGTCTTCCTTCCCTTTGAGCTCTTACTACAGATTAAAACTCATGTACATGTCACAAAATAGAGAGTGATCTGCTGATGCCTGCCAAGCATAGAACTGCCTGCATACAAAAAAGTATGTACTGATACAGATGTTTCTGGCACAGCCAATACATGTATATTTTTGCAGGCCCATTCATCATTTCCATTGTTAAAAATGTTACCTGCAAAATTATTTAAAGAGAGCAGCTGCTGTGATTTATTGTTGCCTTCATTACTCAGAAAGCAGATGACATTACTGCTGAAACAGTTCCACATAATCTTCCTTAATAATTCAAGATGAATAACCACATACTTACAGCATACACCATTGGTGTGTTTTCTCCAGTCAATGCACATGCCTTGATCGGCACAGGTGGCAGCGTAGATCTGCAGACTTGAGCATTCCAGGTCTAGGTTGGGAAGTACACAGCTATCAAAAACACAGGCTGCATAGTACTTTTCAGGTTGGACAAATGCATGGCATGGCTTGAACACACTAGAAACAGAAATATTTACCAATATTAGTTAGTGAATGATCCATACATGTTTCAATGTGCTTAACATGTTATGATGTGGCAACAGTGGATGTGGGAGATTAAGGAGATGTGGATGCAGACTATTGATGATGATTTGTGCTAAGAGCACTTATCCAGATAGTAACATTCCAATATATAAATAGTCTTCCCTCACCTACAAAACACTTAGACAGCAATGTTTTGAGTCCAGGAGCTGTATATTATTGGGTGCAACCATGTGCTATCTCTTTAAAGTGATTTTGATTTTTTTTTTTCATTTTCAGTTCTGACATGGTGTTCTAAAAATTAAGATCTTTGTTTTCAGTTGGACTCTGTTTTCTACTAAGTAAAAGTGGGAAAAGGAAAGAACATGGGACAAGGGAGTATAGAGAGTGTAGAAGAATGTGGGAACATCAACAAAGGTTAATGTGGCAGCCAGAGAGCTGAAAGAAACTGTCAGCAAAAAACAAAAGCCAGAAAAAGTGAAAGGAGTAGAAGCAAACCATAAATATACAAGAAATGGAGCAATAGTTAGAAACACTTTCCATTGGTAAATTAATCCTAAAAGTTCCATTTGAGTCAAAGACCAAAGGCTTGTGAAAGCAAGAGGAATGTTACCTTCCCAAAAGAAGCTCACAGATGGAAGATTCTTTGCAAGGCTGTGTTGGTGTTGTGCTAGGTGAACCTGTAGGAACTAGGCCTGGAGAGCACTGTGGTTTGGATGGATCAACAACTTGCCAGTGATCTGCCATGGTTTCACAGTTTGCTGCAATGTTTCCATTTGGCAGCATGCAGTCATCTGCCGTGTTGTTATTGCAAGTACCTAAGGGTGGTAAGTGGAAAAATAATTCACTCACAGATTTGTTAGGAAATTCTATTCATCTTTGCAGCAGGACTGTCATTGTGGTTTTCTGAGAGTGCAAAAATTGGAAGAGTAAGCCTTACCACACTGGCCCTGGGTGTTGTTGCCAAACAGGCTGTAGGGCATTCTGATAGAAAAGGACAAGCCATTGTAGGTCACATTCATTTTCAGCTCAGGAATTTCCACAACACGATTTATGCCTGACTCATAGATGCTTACACCAAACTTCTTATAAGGCAAAGCCACAAGCTGGTTGTTTACTGTCACCTAATAAATAAAGGAAAACAGAAAAGAGGCATAAATTTAGTTTGACTTTTCAAAACAATTGACTGTTCCTTTGTTTTGCAGAGAGAATGTAAAGGTAAATAATATCCTTTTAATTTGTAACAAATGTTCCTGTGTTCCTTTTCTTACTGGAAAGTCAAACTTTTCTTCTCTGAGCCACATAAAGCCCATCAACCTCCAACAAATGAGGCTATAAATTCAAGGTTTAAACCTGCTAAATCTTAACACTCAACAGACTTACTAGAGTGACTATGCCATCAAGGAATCCTCCTGAAAGTGGAATATAAAATTCTCCTAAATTCATATGGTATGAAGTTTTAGGTTTCTTGGCATAAAGGGTACATGCTTATAGGAAAATTAAATAACAGAAATAAGACTAAAACTATATTACTTATTCAAATACCCTAGCCATGGTATACCTGTGAAACTAACACTACTACTTTCACTCAGCAATTGGAGATTTCTTTGCTTTAGAGAAAAAAAGAGGTCTAAATATTGTAAATTTTCAACAATATGTTGCAACCCAACTTGCAATGTTCTCACACAGTAATGTAAAAAAATAAACCAAACGGTAAAAAGCTACAAAAAGCCCCAAACACTTCTCACTAATTTTGAAGCCTAAAAACTCTGATATCACATTTTTCAATGGAATAAACATATAGCTGCCCTATTCTGAAAAATTAAAAAGGTGACACAAGTCAAAGCTACTAATGGTACTTTTAAAAAAATGCTTCAGGTCAGCACTTTGTTGTCATGTCTACCTTACATTATCTCATCCCATTCCACATTGTTTTCCTTTGTTAGATTAATGTTAATTATAAATTATTTTATATCCTTAACTCTTAGCAATTTGTGCATACTTGTGTATTTAGGAGAGACCTGCAAAGATTTGAGATTAAAAAGACAAGAAGTTGTAGAATTTTCCCCCCAACATTCAGAGTAAAAAAATGCTGTGAAGTGGTCCTTTGAAGTCCTTTGAAGCACTCCAGTTTTATAATCTAAACTGTTACTGAATCTAAAACACAGAAGAATTCTTTTCCCCAGACCTTGTTAATATCATTATCCTGTTGATGCAGTATTAATATCTGAATCAAGAAATCAATGTTATCATTCTTTAGTACCTCTACTTGTAGAGTATTTGGTTGTGCTGTTGTTAGCCTCACTTCCTGAGTCTCATGTCTCACGATGAGCGTTCGAGGACAGGACACTACATCCCGTACATCACAATGATAATTATCAATGTAGACACCAAAGTTGTCGACTTTCTTATTTATCTCTTCCACAAGGACATATGTACAATTCCCTTGATAGCTGTAGTACAATCCATCAAAAGTCATGTAATGTGGATCTCCCCAGCCAGTGCAGTAGCCTAAAAAAACATACAGCTAAGTTAGGCTCTTATGGCAACATACAAAATCATATCAGACTACAAGCAAAATCTGTAGATGTGGGAAACACCTCTGTGAACTTTGGATGTTTTAATTTTAATAAAGTGTACATGTCAATGCATGAGCTCATTAGCTAGAAGTCGTCATAAAAAACAGGCACTTTCAATGCACAGTTCATCTGACATTAATGACAGCTGAGAATAGGATTAACTGTAACATAGATATATCTTTACCAATAGTCTGAACAAGTAACGTATATATATATAGGCATCTAGCCTATCGATGTCTGCATCTAGACATTTAAATCCTACTTTGGGAGACCAATTTACTCTACTATCACAACAGTTACGTAGTAATAATGGCAACTTAAGCAAATCCCTCAATTAGCTAAAAAGAATCAACAGAGCACTCTACCCAACACCAGAATCACAGCCTTGCACGATACTTGAGCCCTGATAAATATTGTTGGTCTTGACAATAGTGTTGTTCCCTCAGGAGATTAAATATTCAACAAAATATATACTTACAATCACACTCCCAGTGCCAACAGCATCCATCCTCATCAATGACTGGCACAGGAGACAGTCCATTGGCACACGTTGGTTTTGGAGGTGGATTGCAGATTACTGGAATCACCTGGACAATGTTGTCTTCTATACATATTACCTTAGTGCAGTTACAGAGCCACCATGACTCACCTTGCTGTGTTTGAAAAGAGAGGGGGAGGGGGGAGATGGAGACAAACCTTAGGAAGCAGTGAGACTGACAATAGTTATGCCTGAATATCTTCTTCAGTTTTCTAAAAAGCCATATGTCTATTGATAAGATTTCCCCCACCAGAAATCTGAAAATAGGATGGAAGTGCATCAGTCAGCACTATCTTGGTCTGCAGGATAAAACAACTGAGAGCTGCTAAGTGAAAAGCATTTTCACTTACAAAAGTCAAGTCAGTAAACCAAAATGGGAATCACCTTTTCAAGTTTCAGCTAAGAAGTGAGATGTTTCACCTAACCTCATCACCTTAACACCCTCTCTAAAGAACAGTGAAAGACACTGATCAATATGAATGGCTAATATATTTAATTCACTTGAATGCCTAGAACAGATTAATAGCTAAAGCTACAGTGAACGCAAATAGTTCAGAGAAAAATGTCCAAGGTGATTATGTGCATGCATTGTGATTGCATGAGGTTTTTTCTTCTTCTACCAGTTTTTCATCCATGTATAATTTTTTATTCCTGCAGATCTACTGAGCAAGTTGGTAGGCATCTAAACTTTGAGGAGGCTTTAGAAATGCACAAGACACTAACTTGTCTGTGTCAGAGGTGGAGGATTCAAAAAAAAGAAAAAAAAGAAGTCTGAGTCAAATTTCACAAGCATTTGAATGCAGTGATCTGTTTCACAGTCCTCTCCTGAAACCAGTCTGTGAACAAGTATGATTCATTCCAAACTCAGACAAATTCAGCCCTGTGGATTTTTGTTGGGCTGAGTAAACACACAAACAAGCAACTTTTACCCACTTTGGACTTATTCAAAAGCAGAAATAGAAAAGATAGCTTAGCACCATTTAGTTCTTGGTTTCCTCTTCATCAGAGCTATCCTACAACAAACACAGAACTGTGATCTATCTCCTTGCAGAAAGCTTTCTAAAAATTACCTTCCAAGAGCTAATAGCAATATATAAACTATAAATCAAATATCATTAGAAGTCCGGCTGATGTCCAAGAAAACTAAACAAACAGAACAGACTGATGCTACCTTTCCTATCCAGATTAATGCCTACTCTAGGTTACTAACATGGAAGCTATGTGTCTACTCTCCATCCAAAGCACAATGAAAGCATGGAATCTACTCACCTCATAAGATTCATTAGGGAAAATAGTACAAGTTTTTTTAGTTGTTGGTATTAGACCTGTAGTTGTACTCGAGCCATTAACTGGAGGAGTTACACTGTGTGTAGAACTTCCTGTAGTGGTGACTGCAGTTGAGGTTGCAGTAGGCCCAGATGTAGTAGTTGAGCCAGGGGGAAGGGTGGTGGAAGTGGTGGTTGCATTGACTGTGGTAAAAGTACTAGAGGTGGTTCCTGAAGTGGTGGTAAAGCTTTCTGTTGGAGTAGTACCAGAGGTGGTGTTTGACACAGGGCGGGTTGATGTTGTTGGAGTAGTAACAGTTGCAGAGGTTGTCCCTGGGGTACTTGTTTCTGTTCCTACTGTGGTGGTGGAGGGAGTGGACACTGACAGTGTGGGGCCTGAAGTGGTTGTCTTGGTGGTTGATCCTGTTTGAGTGAATGGAGTTGTTGATATTGGTAGTGTTCCTGTAGGGCTGCTTGGTCCTGAGGTTGTGGTGGTGCCAGGGCTAGAAGTGGTGGGAGATGATCCTGTTGGAGGGCTTGGGGTCCTGGTGGTAGTGGTCTCATGGACAGGTGTTTCTGTTACTGGTGTGGTGCTGGTGGACCTTGAGGGTGTGGGGCCTGAAGTGGTTGTCTTGGTGGTTGATCCTGTTTCAGTGACTTCAGAAGTGGTAGCTGTCACTGGGCTTGTTGACACCGGTGATGTTGACTGTTGACTAGTGGTGCTTGCAGGAGGCGTACTTATTTCTGTCGTTCTTGTTGTTGGCAATGGGGTAGCTGAAGGAGTAACTGGAGTGCTTGTCTCTGTCGGTACCTCTGGTGTCTCTTTAAGACAGAGAGAATACAGTATTTCAAGTAGGGAAATTGCATTTTCTTCCTAATGTCATCTCATTTTCTACTAAGCATATGTAGCTCAACAAGCCTAAGCATAGGGTCTTTAGATAGAAATAAAGCAGAAATTGTTCATTAGTGGTTTTTGTATCACTGAGGGATTATTAACAAAATCTTCTACGTCTTGCATAGGACACGTCGATATAAACACTTTAACAATCAGTGTCAGAGGGAACATCTTCTGCGGTGTTAAAACTTTATATTGCAGAGAAGAGTTCAGCAGTCCTAGATCCAGGGAAATCCACTAAGTAGATCAATAAACTCTGATTAATACTGTATTGCTGTCATATTATATTGTATGGAAAGACCATTATTCCCTATGCTGCTTCATGTGGCACGTTCATAGCACCATTGATTATGCTCAGAGTCATTTGATTCTACAGAAAATGAGCAGTTGCTGGAGCAGCCTGTGTTTCATTTCTAATGCCCAGGCCTTTAAGACTACTCACACACAATCTGTTTTGGGATGCTACGAACCCCAAATACATTTTCCTTCTTTTTCACATGGACAGTTTTCATTATGGTTGCTAATGGAGACTCCTTTAAAATAGTGTTTTAATAGTATATTAAAAAGTGTTCATGATTCTCACAGGCCAGCCTCAGAGCCATCTATATGTGTTTTTTTAGCAGAAGTGACATATGGTAGAGAGGGAAGCACTGTGTACCTAATAAAAGTGCAGTAATAATGCTAGAGGAATTAATAGACACTGGTTCTGCTCAGGCAGCCCACAAGGACAGTCCTTCAACAAAAAATGAATTCATGTTTGGGTGAGGACAGGCAAACTACTTCACATACTTCATCTCCATTACAAGAGGCAGATGAACTGGGACAGTAGGGGATATGACATTGCTGCTGAAAGGTTAGCTGGAATGTTTTTGAAATATAATCAACTACATTAGTGCAGAGTACAGAAACTAAAACATATTTTAAGCTCACAATTAACCCTGCTTTCTAAAACCAGCAAAGGACATTAAATCCTGGGAATTACTTATTGCTTCTGTGGGTGGAGACGTCGGAGTTTTGGTAATAATAGTTTCAGGAGTTGAGATGGTAGATGGGTATCCAGGAACAGTGGTGGTTGTGCTCGGAGGGCTGGTGGTGGTGGTGTGAGTCTCTGGCGGCAAAGGAGTGGTTGTTGATTTTGGTGTGCTCAGTGTGGATGGAGGTGTGCCTGTTAGAAACAGCAGGGACGGAGAAAACAGACAAAGGCACAAAGGCATCAGTGGGACTCAATAGGAACTGAACAGAAGCTGCACATGAAGCAGCTGGTACAGAGCTAGAGAGGTCAGCCTATGTGGCACCAGCCCTTCCTTTCTGGCCACAAAAAGCCCAATATTTGAAATCCATGCACTTAGGCACATGTCAGCCAAAGACCACAGTTCACAGAAAGTCACAGTCTGCAGAGTGAAACTATTCCCTAAAGTATATTCATCCTTCTACATCTATAACAGCTGACAAGCATTAGCACTGACAGGGCAAACGAACAGGAAAGATGGAGGAAGATCTACACAGTTATGTCAAATCAGTGCCTAAAATGCCAGTACCAAAAAAAACCAAAGCCACGCCACAATTGCACATATGTCCAGTGCATATGTTCTGGCCAGCTGAGGGATGAGGTCAAGCAGCAAAAAAGGCAAGATTTCCCATCAGTTTGAGATCTCTGTAAGCTAGGCAGCAGCATGAAATTTCTCCTTGTAAGGTATTCTGTCAGAGAAGCCAAGACCTTTTCTCCAGAACCCCAAAACCTTATTCCTTCTTAAACAGCCAGTTGAAAGGCAAGTTTTAAGTAAAGACTGCTACAGGGACGCTCTGCAGTTACACCCATCCCTCTGCAGTTACACTCATCCCTGATCCCACTGAGAGGCACAATTTGAGATGCTCAAGTACTTTGAGAGCAACCACGGGAAGGTAATAAAAAACAGCACAGGCCAGAGAATTACCTGGAGTTGGTGTGGTGGTGGTGTATGTTGGTGTTGGTGAGGATGTGCTTGAAGTAGTTGAGGTGGGTGTTGGTGATCCAGTAACAGTTGTGGTTGTGCTCAGAGGGCTGGTGGTGGTGGGAGTCTTTGGTGGCGAGGGAGTGGTTGTCGATTTTGGTGTGCTTGGTGTGGATGAAGGTGGGACTGCTTGAAAGAGTAGGGACAGAGAAAACAGACAAAGGCACAAATGCATGAGTGGGACTCAATGTGAACTGAACAGCAGCTGTGCATGAGGCAGGTGGCACAGAGCTAGAGAGGTCAGCTTAGAACAGCAATGGTCCCTGGCACCAGCCTTCCCATTCTCAGTGCAGAAAGGGACATCTATGTACAGAGAGGGTCATGGGCCTCCTTTCCTAGTGATGAGATTGGAGATGGTGCTGGAAGGTGCTTTTCATAAAGTTAGAGAGACCTACCAGTATGGAAGAGATGAGGAGGAGTAATGCTTTGGATCTGGCTGGGGCTTTCTATCTCTGCCTTATTAATTAAACACACCACTAATTCATGGAGTAAGAGCTGAGAGGAATCTGTAGTCTGGGAATGGATCATGCACCAGAACATGTTTCTGCCTGACTGTCATGTGATTCTTCCAATATCATCCTTATAAAGGACATGACAGAATACTAGTGGATCTCGTAAGCCAAAGACCACAGTTCACCAATAAGAGGTAGTATGTAGCCAAAAGCATGGCAGGTGAATCCTTCCTTCCTACATCTATAACCACTGACAAGCATTAGCACAGATACAGCCAAGAAGGAGGAGAGAGGGCAAAAACTGTATACAGCTGTGCCTAAAACAGTGCCTGAAATGTCAGTGCCAAAAGCAAAGTCATTGTCCAACTGCACATCATGGGTTCTATGGCTATATTCTGCCCAGCTGAAGGACATAGTCCAACAGCTGAAAAAGCAATATTTTCCATCAGTTCAACGTCTGTCTTAGATGCTTCCATCAGATCAGTATCTGTCTTAGCTGCATAGCAAGATGAAATACCTCCTCAGAACACTGTTGCATCAAGAAAGACAAGACCTGCTTCCCAGGACCCCTGAATCTTCATCACTTTTGAAACAGCCCAAATGAATTTTGGGCACAACTCATTTTCTGGAATGCCCAAAAGTTACACACATCCTTGAGCCCACACAGAACCACAAATGGATGTACTCACAGACTTTCATTACTCCCATGGAAAGACCAAAAATGATGAAAGAACCAAAGAATTTTTTGTTGGTTTTGTGGTTAGAGGCAGAGTAGTTTTTATGTGAATTACTAGCATTGGGAACATACTTTCAGGAGTTGAGACAGTTGTTGTTGATCCAGTAACAGTAGTTGTTGTGCTCGGAGGGCTGGTGGTGGTGGTGGTGGAAGTCACTGGTGGTGAGGGAGTGGTTGTTGATTTTGGTGTGCTCAGTGTGGATGGAGGTGTGCCTGTTAGAAACAGCAAGGACACAGAAAACAAAGACACAAAGGCATCAGTGGGACTCAATAGGAACTGAACAGAAGCTGCACATGAGGCAGCTGCCACAGGCCTAGAGAGGTCAGGCCATGCCTAGCACAGCAAAGATCCCTAGCACGAGCACTTCCTTTCTGGCCCCAGAAAGCAAACTCCTTGAAATTTGGCATGCAGAGGGTCATGGCCCTCCTATCCTAATAAAGAGACTGGGGATAGTGCTGGAAAGTGCTTTTTACAAAATCAAAAAGACCTACCAATAGGTAAGAGATAAGAAGGAGCAGTGCTTTTGATCATGCTGGAGCTTTCTATCTCTGCCTCATTAGCTATAACACCTCAATAAATCCTGGGGTAAGAGCTGAGAAGGGAAGCTATGATCAGGGAAGAAAGCAAGCACAGAAATATGTTCCTGGCTGATTGGCATGTGGTTTTCTGATACCAGGAATTCCCAGAGTATTAGTGAACCTCATCAGGCAAAGACCACTGTTCACAGAAAGTCACAGTCTGCAGAGTGAAACTGTTTCCAAAAGCATGGAAGACATAGCAAAGGAGCAGGAGAGAAGGAAGAAAGTCTACACATCTGTGTCTAAAGATAGTTTGAAATGCAAGAGTCACAAAGTCAAGCCCCACTCCATTACACTCAATGTGTCCAGTGACGCCACTCTGGCCAGTTGAAACACAAAGTCCAACAGTAGCAAAAGCTACTAAGTCTTTGGGTCTTCTAAAACCAAGCTGAAGAGCCAGCTATGGGAAAAGGCTGTTTCAGGGGCTGTCCAGAAATTAAGCCATTCTTGATGCCATACAGAAACAAAAAAGATGTTCACAGACCCTCAGTACTTCCAAAGGCAAATAACATATGAGACTACAAAACTTAGAAGTACCTGGAGTTGGTGTGGAGGTGGTATATGTTGGTGTGGCAGTGGATGTGCTAGAACTAGTTGAGGTGGGTGTTGGTGATCCAGTAACAGTTGTGGTTGTGGTTGGAGAAGTCCTGGTGGTGGTGGTGGTGGTGGCAGGAGTCTCTGGTGACGAGGGAGTGCTTGGCAATTCTGATGGAGTGGGTACTGTCCTCGGTGTGGATGGAGGTGTGCCTGTTAGAAACAGCAGGGACAGAGAAAACAAACAAAGACACAAAGGTATCAGCGGGACCCAATGTGAACTCAACAGAAGCTGCAAATCAGGCAGCTGATACAGACATAGATCAGCCCACCCCTAGCAGAGCAAAGGTTCCTAGCACCAGCCCTTCCTTTCTGGCCCCAGAAAGATGAATCCTTAAAATGCACACACAGGGTCACAGCTCTCCTTGCCTAGTGAAGATAATGGGGATAGTGCTGGAAGGTGCTTCTCACCAAACCAGAGAGATCTATCAACAGGGAAGACAGGACGAGGAGTAAGGCCTTTCATCTACTGAGATAGATAAGTTTTGAGGTTTCCCATCTCTGCCTTTTTACCTGAACACCACACTAACTCATGAAGCAAGAGCTGAGATGGGAATGTCTGGTCAGGGAAGGATGTATGCACAGTAGCAAGATGAGCAATGTCTCGACAGGAGAGGAGAACATAGTCCCCTGTATCCTTGCTCCTTCTGGAACAACTAGCACAAGGACAACTTTTGGGTAAAAGCCATTTCAGGGGATACACGGCAATCAGCACACAACCTCAGATCCCACAGAGAGGCACAAATGGAGGTGCCCAGAGACCTTCAATTTCCCACAGCAAGGCAACACATGAGAGCACAGATCAGAGAAATACCTGGAGTTGGTGTGGTGGTGGTGTATGTTGGTGTGGGCGTGGATGTGCTTGAAGTAGTTGACATGGGTGTTGTTGAGACAGGAACCGTTGTGGTTGTGCTCGGAGGGCTGGTGGTGGTGCTGGGGGGCAGCGTGGTGGTGGTGCTGGTGGTGGTGGTTGTTGGGGTGGTGGTAGGGGTGGTAGTGGTGGGAGTCTTCTCTGTTGTTGTCGTTGGAGTGGTTGTTGATATTGGAGGGGACACACTGCTAGTTGTGGTTGAAGCTGTGGAAGTTGTGGTGCTCGTGGTGCTTGGAGGTGAAAGACACTCTGGTCTGTTCGGGGTGCAGCAGACACTGATCTCGTAGTTGAGGCAGACTGGCATCGGTACTATACCTCCTATCTGCTGATCTTTATTGTTACAGATGAGCCCTACGTCAACATCACATTGCACTTTCTGCCCTAAATCTGCAATGGGCGTGTTAGGGAATTTCTCTGCTCGGCATGAAATATTCTCAACTTTGGCACACTCCCAGGAGGGGTCGTTCTTCCAAATGTTCTCAAAGGTTTCGTAGTCACCACTGTCCTTGTTGGAACCGTCTGGGTAGGTCACATCAATCCAGTCAGACCAGATGCACTCACAGGCTGCGAGGTGACAAGAAGACAAACAATCAGAAACAGACAGGACAGAGACAACAATGCAGGGCACCAGCTCACACACCGGTGGTGCTCTGGGCATCCCCTGCACTCAGTGGTGCCCCTCAGGCTGCTACTGTACTCAGCCAACACTGGCCACAAGAAAGCTCAGTGTTATGGCCAGGCCTCTCCTTCTTGGCCCTACAACCCACTCCAGGCCCAAATCAGGACACAGGCGCTGAGGAGTTCGGTGTGTGCCCCCCACAGCTGGGTCACATTGCTCTGTAGGAAATCTTGTGTACAAAAGCCACTCATATGAGACCCACACAGGAGGCAGAGCAGGGCTAAACAAATAGTCCTGCCACTCTCTCAGCTTCTTGGGCCATGCACACCATCTCAATATCTCATGGAGAAACCAACCATTGGGAAGGCACCCAACCACAGGGAAAGCAGGCACACAACACACGCTGCTGACAAAGCCTCAGCTGCTTCCCAGCAGCTCACAGATAGCTGGAGACAAGCACCAACAGGAACACTGGTAGAATCCAGCTACCCAGAGCTTGTGTCTGTCAAAAGGCCCAGAATTTACAGCCATCTCTGATCCCATCCAGAGCCACAAAAGGAGGTGCTCATGGACCTTTCCTACTCCTGCAACTAGGCCAGAAATGACAACAGAGCCAGAGAATTATTTGTTGGCATTCCAGTGGGAGACACAGGGCTTTTGGAGGGAATTATTTGGTTTTGGAACGTACAGACAGTACTTGGTGTAAACGGTGTTGTTGTCGGTGATCTGCTGGTGGTGGTGGTGGTGGTGGTGGTGGTGGTGGTGGTGGTGGTTGTAGGGGTGGTGGTGGTGGTGGTGCTGGGAGTCTCTGGCAACGTGGAAGTGGTTGGCAATTCCGATGTAGGGGATGCTGTGCTCGGTGTGCCTGTTAGAAACAGCAGGGAGAGAGAAAACAAAGGCACAAATGCATGAGTGGGATGCCATGTGAACAGAACAGGAGCTGTGCATGAGGCAGTTGCCACAGAGCTAGCGAGGTCAGCCCATCCTTCGCATTGCAACGGCCCCTAGGACCAGCCCTTCCTTTCTGGCCCCAGAAAGCAGAATCCTTAAAAGTCATGCACATGCGAGGTCACAGCCCTCCTTGCCTAGTGAAGCTACTGGGGATAGTCTGGAAAGTGCTTCTCACCAAACCAGAGAGACCTACAAACAGGAAAGAGATGAGTAGGAGTAATGCTAATTTAATGTGTCTGGGGCCTTCTGTCTCTGCCTCTTTACCTGAACACCTCACAAATCTCAGGAGTAAGAGCTGTGTGGTGGTGAATCCATGGTCAGAGATGGAAGAGTGAAGAGGAAGTTCCTGCCTGACTGTCATGAAATTTCCCCCTGGTGGAATGTTAGCCTGCTGAAGAGCCTCCCAGAGTTCTAGCAGGTATCATCAGCAAAAGGCTACAGTTCACAACAAGTGGAATTCTTCAGTGCAAAACTGTTCCAAATGCCTCCCAGTGTAATCCTTGCTTCTAAGATCTGGAACCATTGGCAATGACTTGCACTGACATGCCAAAGCAGGAGGAGAAAGGGAAGAAAGTCTGCCCAGTTGTTCCTAGAATGAGAGTGTCACAGACTAAAAAGCCCCACTCCAATTGCCCACCATGCATGGGCCCAGTGACTAGATTCTGGCCAGCTGAAGGACAAGGTCCAACAGCAGGAAAAGCAAGAGTTTCCATCAGTTCAGCATCTGTCTAAGTTGAGCATGAATAGGAACTCAGATGGGCTCTGGCGCTCTGTAAGCCAAGGGTTCCAGAAGGCATTGCAAAGGTCTCTAGTGCCAGCCCTCTCTTTCCAGCCCCAGAACGCAGAATCCTTGATGTCCATGCATATAGAGTGTCAAGGGCCCTCTCTCCCTAGGGAAGTGATTAGGCATGGTGCTGGAAAGTGCTTCTCACAAAATCAGAAAGGAAATGTCAACCTGAAGAAGGATGCCTGCACAGCCCCACCCAGAAAATTCCTCTATCAACAAAAGCTTGAAGCATGGCCTACTTTTTTCTCCACACCAGGCACTTCTGGCATATTTTCTCCGGCAGGAACTTAAGAGTCCAAACCCTCCTTAGTAAGACTTCCTTGCAGATCAACATTCTCTATGATTGTGACCTGCCTTTAGTAGCCAATAGCCCTTTATTTCTTCAAAGGCAAAGTAAATTTTTTCGGTGTAGATGTTGAAATTACTAGAGTGAGGACTGATGGTGTATACTCACTTGTTGTGGAATGGATGTGTATAGGTGGCGGGGTGGTAATCTCTGTTGAAGTCGTGGTTGTGGGTATTGTTGTCTTGGTGGTGGTTGGAGCTTGTGATATAGTAGGTATAATTGTAGACCCACAAGGAATTTCTTGCCACTCGCAACAGTTTACTCTGATTTCATAATTATAGCAAAGTGGCCACATAGTTACATCTTGCTCATCATTTTTGCAGATAAGCCCATATTTAACATTACACTCTACTTTCTGACCAAGATCATCTAAGCTCACATCAGGTTTATCCTTAGCCCTGCATTCAATTTCTTCAGGAGCTGTACATATCTTGTATCCATGTTTTCTTATTTCATCATATGTTTCATAGTCACCACCACCTTCTTCAGGTTTACTAACATCAAACCACTCAGTCCAATCACAGATTAGTCCAAAGCAAGGAGCTGCAGCAAAAGACAGAAATTTCAGACTTTACAGAGAACATCCTGAAAAGATCCCTTTTTTGTTTTCTTCTATTAAGGACTAGAGGACTGCATTGTAATTTGTCATCTTTCCAAAGAAAGGAGTTCTAAAATCAGTTCTGTATTACCAGGTCTTTAAATTAGATGTTTTACATCAAAATAAAATTACGAAGCTGAAGCCTTTAAAGATCTTTCTTCTCTCTACACTAATGGCACTTTTGAAATTATAAAAAAAATATTCATTTTTCTTTAAAATATATTTTTCTGTATTGATTGTCTTTCATTTACTCTTCCTTTAAATATTCCTTTGACATTTTTAACAACCTTGTTTTGCATTTATAACTTACTTGTAGTTACTGGATGGCTTGTAGTGGAAACTGAAATAGAACAAAAAGAGATTACTCTGTCATTTCAAAATAAATATAATAGTATTTTTATTTTTTTTGCTGACACCCTAACATTATTTCTACTATCCCATTAGGATATTGATATGTGAACATGTCCTTTTCAGAAATAGGAAGGCACCCTGTACATTTATACTTACAATTTCTTTCATGAGAAATAAATCAACTTAAAAGGCTAAAATTCTTTCTTATTGTGGTGTGATAAAAAAATCCATAAATATTGCTCTGTGTCAACTATAATCCCATATAATTGTACTTTCTATATTTAAAATATTTTCCTTAAAGAAAACAATTTTTAGATCACATCTGTATTAATGATTTACCTGTGGTAGTGGTGGTAAGAGTACTGGAAGGGAAGGAGGTTGAAATGGTTGTAGGTGAAGATGTTGGACAAGGATAGACTTCACCAGGAACTACAGAACCATTTTCTGCACAGATGTATATTATACATATGTCACCATCCTGTACTTGTCCCACAACAGTACCCACTTCGTAACTCGTTCCATTGATGACACAAGGACACCCTGAAAGAAAGAGCTTTACTGTGCAATTTTTCTACTACCACGTAAGAGGCAGAGGCAAAATACTTATGGACAAGAGAGCATTTACATGAATAATGCATGTGTTTCAGAGCTGTACCTGGAGCTTAGATCTACTATATTGTGCTAATTTATCTTTACAGTTAAAGCAACATTAGAACATGTTTAATCAAGTCCTGAATAAAATGCCTGGTGGTACAGACTTAGAAAGGAGGTTTTAAAATGTTCTGAGAGAAATAATAATTTCAATTTACTATCTGACATTTTTATATTAATAACTACATGTTCAGGAAGTGCAAACTTATAGTGAAATACATTAGTTTGGGTATGGGACATAGGGAGAAAGACTGAAGGGGCATAAGATAAAGGTTGAACCAGAAGTATTAACAGCAAGGTTCGATGAAACTGCTGCCAAATTTTCTTTAGTCACAACTTTCACTAGCACTGAAAAGAATTATTCTAAATCAATACTAAGTCTTTTGTAGAGCCAGGCAGAGTAGTTCTATATATTTTTTTCTTCTGTTCCCAGAAAAACCCAAATGCTATTTACCTGGGAGTGGTTTACACTGTATGGATCCTGATGGGACACAGACACTAAAAGAAAAATTTTCAAAAATTAAAATGTTGCTTATGTTTTATGACACCTCTTAGCAGAATCAAGAGCAGAGAAACATTGGTATTTGTCACTTGATCTTCATTCACACTATTGGATATTTTTCTGGGTATCTTTTTTAGTATTGCCTACCATTTTTCTTTCAAACTAAGTCACCACTTTCAGTACAATTGCAGGTTGCAATAACAACTGTTTTACAGAGTGAACTTACAGCTAGATCAGATCATTCTCTGGTCACCATGTTGAGCTAGAGTAAGTGCTGTCATTGCTAACACTAAGCAAACAATTGGGACTCAACTTATCTCATTCAGGGCAAGAGTATTTCAGATTACAGTGATTTTGAAGTCCCAGTTTTAAGTGAGAATGCAAGGCAGAGTACCTCTCTTCCCAAAGAGTCCCGAGAATTGAAAGGTTCTTTCAGAAGTTCACCCAGGTTTCATGATATAATTTATGACAGTTGACAGATATAATTAGTGAATTTGCTAATACACTTCTTATACTAAGACTACCAACCTGAAATCTGGATTATTATGGGTATGGAAAATTATGAAATGCAAGAATATACCAGCTCTTCAGTTGAAGTTGCATCTCTACTTGTTTGAGGCCAAATAAAGTAAATGAGGGACTCAGCATACACAAATTATTTCCTGAATTACTGCAAGTAATTTTTATATACCATATTGTACAGTTTTCTTCTGTGGGTACTTCTTGCCCAGGTTGTATATGGGTTCCATCCTCGAGGTAACATCCACATTGGTCTTCAGTCACACATTCCTTTGTCTCTTCATTATAAATAGGCTTGTCCTTAGGGCATCTGGGGTAGCAACCTATTGATGATAGGTAGAACAGAATACAGGATGAAGAAAAAGTACAAAAAAAGTGCAAAAAGTTAACTCAGCAATATGTTATCTTCTGAAAGTAAATTATTCTCACTGAATGAAGCATAGTGAAAGAAATAGAAGAAAGTAAAACTTCTCATTCAAATCAAAGTAAAACTCCCCATTCAAAACAAACCATGGACAATTAGTCTTTCCAAAAGACTTCAACAGTTCTCATTGATAATACTGAGGTGAGGAGGATTAAGCAAGAGGTTTTTATGAAAACTAGTGAAGTTTCTTTTTCTTAGTTCAGTACCTTGGAGAAACCCCTAATTTAAACTCACTTCTATGGGCAGCTAGTAATTTTAAGACAAAAATACACCCCAATTTTTGTATAGATCACTATATCAATAATAATCTTCTGAGGAATATGGAAGCAGATTCACTAACAAACAGGTTCATCACAACATTTCTTGGAACATTAGACCTTGTTTATATGCCTTGAATACACCAAATATCTCTGCCTCAAACAGATAATTTACCAATGTTTTTCCTTACCCTTGGGCAGTGATCCAAACTTCACTGCAATGGATTAATTTTCTGTCAATTTTTATTCCATTTTTCATGTAAATACACTTAAAAATATTATTCTGTTATTATTATTGTATCTCCTTCCTCCAAATAACCTCTTATTAAGTCCAATTATTAATGATATGAAGTCCTCTTTATACTGTACTGGAGTTCTAAATAGCCTTTAAACTGAAGAACCATGTAATTAACTGATACTTAACTCACTTTATACTGCCAGACTGGACTTAAGATGTCCTAACAAAAATAGGTGTGCTCTTTATTTCTATTGAAATTAAACAACAAAAATAATTCAGAAAGATAATTTGCTATATAATAATCTGCCTTCTGACACTTCCCAAATCTTTCTAATAATGTAAGACTATTTTAAAACACAAAGGTTTGTTGGGTTTTAAAAAATATTTTGATTAAGGATTTTTGTTGATTTTTTTAGTAGAGTTTTTTGGTGGTATTTTGTTTTGTTTGGTTTTGTTTCTCTTGAGTTTTGGTTTGTTTGATTTTTTTCCTTTTCATTTTTTAATAGCAGTTCAAAGCAAAGTCAAACTCAAGGCATTTCTTGCCAATCCCTAAACTGGAGTGCTTCCAGTCCTGACCAAAAAGACTTTATGGCTAAAAATACAGCTTTTTTCTCCAGCTTTACCATATAGAGACAGTACTTATGTCTACATAATGTAGTTACTACAGTAACTACAGTGCACAAGTACGCTTGTGAACTTGTACACTTGTATACTTGTACACTTTCCCATTCTGGGATCATTGCTGTCCTTTTAATGTGAAATTCCTGTTTCATTATCAACCACAAGGACTGTCACCTACTAATATCTCATCTACAAAGGAAACAGAATCTCCGTTAATCCAATATATAGCAGCATCCATGTGTCTGCTATGAAAGATATTTTCCAGTGTAAAGGCAGGTGGATGTTGCACACTAATCTAGTAAAGGCAATATGATCTGGTACATAAAAAATGATCAGGGTAAAAATGCCCAACTCTCAGTGATTCACTTCTTTGCCATATCAAATATTTTCCTGCTTTTGAAATACTTTTGCATGGGATTCAAAATAACCATGATGTAATAATAATGAATGTTCCAGGATATTGTCCAAGCACAGACCTAGTTTTGTGCCTGACAGCAATGTAACTATCACCCATTGATGGTAATAAATAATAAATTACATTATAGGAAACATTTATGTAAGACTGGAGGCAAACTCAACATAGCAGATTTAGGAACATCTCATCAAGTTGACTGACTAGTCCATAATTATTAAAAGATATCTGAACAAAGTTATACAAAACACAATACAAAATGGCAAGGAATTTATTACCTTCCAGTAGTGGTACTGTAAAGTTGGTGCTGACATTATTGATCATCCTGCAGGTTGTGATATTACTGCCACAAGGCTCATAGTGCCAGTCACACTCATTGCGAGGATTGTAGTAGTCACAGAATATTGCTGATGAGAAAAGAGAGAAGCTGATTAAAATCAAGGTTTCCAGAATGCAGTTCTGAGCAGGCCTTTAAAGGTACAAGCTACATCAATCTACAAGTTAAGCTGGCCAAATTTCTCTTGAGGTAAAAGACCTGGCCTTAAGCAGATTTACTCTGCTTGAACTTAGGATACTTCAAAACACTGGTACTTAAGATTTATATTTTAAATATTCAAGCCACTGGGTAAAAATGTTTCAAATAGTAAAGAAAAATATTTTAAAAAAATTACTTTAGTTTAAAATTGAAGGTATATTTCTAAGAGTATTTTTCTTCCATAGCTACTAGCAAACTCCTAAAGATTCTTCCATTTTATACAAAATCATTCCATATTGCTATTTCACACAGGTTGGAAGTCCAAGAGGAAGCATATGAGCCATGATGATGATATGATCAAACATAAATTTAGCTTAGATTACTAGAGACAGAGGAAGGCACTTTTATTATCTTATATATCAGACCTGAATGAAACTTATAATTTTTGTTTCACTGGCTTCCTACACTTAAAAGCTCCAACTAGTCCAAATTCTGAATCTGACTGAAATTTTAAATTAAAAAAATATATATTTCTGCTACTTAAAATCTCAAAATTTTGATCAGAGCACTTTCGGGGTAATATTAATTTAAATACTATTTCACATTAATTTATGGTGTACTGATATGAGTACTAGCACCACTAATGGACACTGCTTAATATACATAACACCGATTAGGTTCAGTGCTAAAGTATGGAAGTGCTATATACTTTTTGCTAAAATCAAATTCTGAATAATTTTAAGAGCTGAGAGAAAAGAGAGATAGAGGAAGAGAAGAGAAGAGAAGAGAAGAGAAGAGAAGAGAAGAGAAGAGAAGAGAAGAGAAGAGAAGAGAAGAGAAGAGAAGAGAAGAGAAGAGAAGAGAAGAGAAGCCAGGCTGAACAAAAGAGAGTTGAAATACACAAATTTACTAGCCCTGTTTGTTCCCTGATATGCTGAGAAAATATTTCACCAAGCAGCCATGAAAGCGTGACCTTTCAGTGGCAGTGCTAATGATTTATCTGACTGGCTTTCTGACAGCAGCTAGAAAGATACAGTTGTGTTTATCTGTTACTCACGGCAGATATCAGGAGTTCTCCAGAAAACACAGGCCTCAGCCTTGATGCACTCTTGGGCGTACGCTGCAACTGCAGAGCAGAAGCACTCACAGTCTCCACCGCTGTCACAAGAGCAGGCATCATGAACACAAGCTTCATAGAAAGGATGTGGGTTCACCTGTCAGGGAAAGAAATTATGCCCTAGTTCATCTCCAAATTAGTTTTCAAACTAATACATTTGAGATCTCTTGATATATGGGAATTGAGCTGGCCAGGAATGAGAGTGTGTCTAAGAGTCATCAAATCACAAACATTTACAAGCTTGAAGCTGCTCAATATGTTCTGGTGAATAATAGACTTAAAATAATATAGTTCCTTCATAAGTTGCTATGACTGAAAAAACAAAGTAAGAGTCCTTGGCACTGCTCACATTTCCTAATAGAATTCCATTCTAGTGCTCCCAAAACCAAGTTGAATTGATGCCAGCAAAGTCTTATTTTCCAGCAACCTTTGCCAACCAAATGGTAAACAATGTCAGAAAGTCTGCATTCACAGCAAATATGAAGCATATAATTTTGTGCCTGTCAGTTTTTGGAGTTTATCCAATGACACATTAAAAAAAGCTTCTTTTTTTTTTGTTTTGGTTTTTTTTTTTGTTTTTCTGTTTGAGTCTGCAAGAGAAGAAACTTAGAATGGATTTTTGTTGCTGAAGTAAACCATGTGGAAACATATAGAAAATTAATTAAATTAATAATTGCTTGTGACTATTCCACTGTTAGTTGGGAGCAAACTGTTGTTAGTATTACCATACATCAGAAAAGAGATGAGAAATAAAGAGAAGTGCTCTCTGTGCACTGTACTCTGGAAGCTGTGGGTTGTCACAGTGTTTGCTGTGGCAATTCAGAGGCACAGTACCAGTACCTGTCTGTCGAAACTATGTGATGTCAGTGGTGCCTAAGAAGATCGTTTTGTGGATTGAATACTACAAGAAGTAGTAGCCTCTTCAACAGCCACCTTCCATGTTTAGTATGAATTTCCATCCAGAGATAGGTCTGATAGGATGATTGTAGTCCTTCAGTACTTGTAATACTGACTGTCTCTCAACAAGAGATGGTGCTACTACAGTACATACAGACCTGTTCAGGATACATTTCTGAAGCTAACTTGCAGAGTAGTAGTGAAACTGTGGTGATGAATATGGCTTTGTACAGCTGGGGCTACCACCACCACTGACACAGGCCCATTGCCACAGAGATGCAGACTACTTTGACCAAGGCCACATGAAATGTGCTGACACCTGTAGCTGTACTGAAGACTTAATTGAAGATCACTCTATTTAACTATCTCTTCATTCATTTCTGATGGTCTTTTTGGTTCTGCATTATCAGAAATGCATTGTGCTGTCCCATCACCTACTGTCTTCTACAAACCTTGGAGTGACAAATTTTGAAGACTTCACTCTGAATGATGCTGCATTCTTTCTCTGCCCAGGACTTCCGGTGTGGTTTCAGATCACAGGGCTTAATCTCTTCTGTGACATCTGGGCACATGGGAGATTGTTTCCAGGAATTTCCAAAATCCAGAGGATTAGTCTCCTGCAGTCCACTCCTTGTTGTAAAGTCATTGTTTGCCTTGTCATCAAAGTTGCCACACAGACCACACACTTTGCCCTGGAAAAGAAAACTGAGTTTTTAGATATACCATGGAAGTGAGAAACAGGCTCTGGTAAAATAAGAGCAAAACATTGACATGAAAAATGACAAATGACTGTCTGTGTAAAGGACAACTTTCATCTTTACTGTCAAATCATTTGTACTGAAAATAAATCTTTATTTGTCTGTCCTCAGCAAATTATTCAGCTGCCATGTCTTCTCTCCTTGAAATCAATTATATCTAGTGTATTTCCATATCTCTATTTCCACATTCAACTTAAAATATTAAAGGGTGCCCAAGCCTCTTACAGCTTACAGAAAAGAATTATTTATTCCCCATTCTTCTCAATTTATCATAACTCACCTATTAATATAAGCCTAAGGTAATTAATTTCTGCTCAAAGCTGTTTTTATTAAAAGTTTCTAGCATAATGAGCACCATTTCTTCATTCATGGAAAAGAAATTACAGGGACCCATTTTTCTTGAAAGAAAATGTATCAATCTGCCCTCAATGGTGAATTTTTGGTAGTGTTATTTAAGGTCCACCAGTCCCCTCAAGAAACAGAATGTCACTGTTTTTACAATGCCTCAATATTCTGCAATTCAGCATGCTGAATTTCAAGAACCAGAACCATGGCCATACATGGTATAGGGAGTTTGGTTTTAACACAGGGCTGAGATTGCATGTAGGTTTCGAAGTACATGTGCAGTCCCCTAAATTATTCTGGATGATTGGCTATCAATACTCACAAACTCAGGAGTATTTCCCAAGATGTTTATCTCTATTGGAATAACATCCTATGCATTCTGTGCAATGCATTGTGATAGACTGTAAGAAACCCCAGAAACACTTCTGCAAGCTGTGATGGTAATAATGCAAGCTAATCATCAGCGCACAGAGGATATAGGAGCGGATATAGACATGGAGTCAGAATAAAAGCACATTTACATTTCCTTGTCTATCCATAATACTACTTCAGAAAAAGACAGAAAGGCACTAACTTTGTAATCAGGGCTCAGCTTGATGAAAACAGTAGTCTTCTTGTCCCAGATCAGCATCACACCGTTGCTAGCCTCAATAACCAGGTACAGGCCGACTGTCCTGTTCCAATACTGCACATCATCACCAACGTCTCGCTGAATTTCTTTGTACTCTTTGTTCTCCAATTTCAGTTCAGTTTTCTGAAAGATAAAAGAGAGAAGTATTATAACACTAACTTCTATGATGAGATAAAATATTAGATACTTGTAACAATGTAACTTATTCTGAAACCAATAGCTCAAACTCTGAGATGACTTTCAAGATGGCAGGGAGTGGTGTAGCACTTCTGTTTGAGAGTTTTCATCACCTGAGAACCGACACCTTTAGAGAATAATTTGATAGGGCCTCTAATACTTGTTACAGCTGCTTTTAGGGACATGACTTTGGAACATTATACTTTTGGTAATACTCAATTACTGATTTGTGCTGACTATCATCACTCACCCCTAGGAACATTTTGATAGCCTTTGAGCATGTGACTCCTGTAGTTCCACAGGGGACATTCTCTGTGATGATACTGAATGAGCCGCTGGAATTTTTCGCACCACAGAAGTCCTATTGAAAAAGAAAAAAAAAATTAAAAAAAGTAAAGAACATGAGAAATGAGGTAGCATATTTCTTTGTAGTTCACTCTCATAAAAACTGAAATAATTTAAATCTTCACGATGTATAAATAGTTACTGCCCCTTCAAATGTGAGATCCTACACACACATATTTTTACAGATGCACAACCATATATGTACACTTCTATGCATACATATAAACAGTTAACACAGTCTCAGCCTAGTAAAAAAGAATCCACATTCTCACAGCCTGCCTGCACTGAAAATACACAATTTATCCCGGCAGAATGTGTGAATACCTTGGGAACAACAATGACAGGCAATAAGGAATGACAAAATCAAAAAGGAAAGTAGATTTTCAAGGCAATCAAATTCTTTTGCAGCCCTCCTGATGAGAATTACCTGAGTAGCCACATATTCACAGCTCCCATCAAAGTCATAGAATTTCCCATCGAAAGTGTTATAATGGCCACTTCCATATATCATACAAGTCCCATAGCACACATCATCAGTGCATTCCCAAACCCCTTTCTGGCAGGTGCTAGAAGAGAGCAGAGAAGTTGAATTTTCAGACATCGCCGAGAGTGTGCAGTTTGAAAAACTGCAGAACAAACCAAGCAGCTGCCTGATATAACATTAATAACGTACAAAATATCCAAGTTTCAACTTCAATTGTTTAGCCTGTTTTTAAGCCTATAACATGATTTTTACTCTGTTGAGCTACAATCTTTAGATGTGATAGCATTTATTTTTAAAAAATAAGGGAGTTTTCCCAACAAGAGATGCCTACTGTAAACAGAGGTAACTCCTACTCCCATACTTTCAGCAGAATCTGTATTTTCAAAGATAGCAATAAGTATTCCTTAAAATTAAGGATGATACTTCCAGCTTTTGCAGCTACTACTAGACAGGACTATGAATATACTGCATAGAATATATTTGAGAAGAGAGTATTCACTTATAACCCACCAGGTATTGCAGTCCACTTTTATCTTGCCTCCAGAAGAATACCACTCATTGTTATGAATGCATGGGCAATCTTTTTGCTCAACACAGCCCCCTCTGCCATCATCAAACAGACCTTCAGGACACACACAGCCTGAGACACACTCTGTCTGGAACTAAGGAATATAAGGAGAAATTATTATCTTATGACAAAGCACTGCATCTTAATTCCACTTCTTCACAAGCACTCTTTAAATAAACTCTGTTTACAAGCACACAGTCTAATATTGATTAGTTTATAAGGGTTTTTTTTCTAGGTTTCTAATGATTTTCTTTTCTTTTTTGATTGTCTAAGAACCCAAATTCTTTTTCAGTTGGAAATGATGACTCTACTAAAGACAGTAAAAAGTAAGAGGAGAAGGAAACCATAAGCGGAATCATTGTGAAAATGGCAACAAATTAATATCATGGGGGGGGAAAAGAAGGGTAGATTAAACCAAAGAGAAATAAATGGTTAGTTACAACTGTATTTGCTGTGTAGCACCATGTGTAAAGAATACAGAATAAACAAAGCAAGACACAAAGAAAAGTTGAATACTTACATGATCAGTTTGAGGAGTATGACAGCTAAGTTGTAGAGGTGTTTGCGATGTCCACTTTGAGGATGCATTGCAGTCAAAGTATGTCTTGTTGGAAGAACATTCTTTTCCACCTGAAAGGTACATTGTTGCTTTAGATCAACCAAGACAATGCAAAAGTAATGTGAGTGAAAGGTGCTAGTTTCTGAGGTAGAAATCTCAGTCTATCCTTATGAGAAAAGTAGGCTCATTGAAGAGAGAATAAAGTGAAAATGTGTTACTGTTTTACATAAAGAGAAAAAAACACACAAAACAAGTAAATGGAAAATTCAAAAGGGAAGTAGGTTTGGGTTGGGAGGTTCGTCATGGGTTTTATTCTAGTTTAGTTTATAGAATGTCACTTACTTCTCATTCTTATTTTCACTGAAGTGCACTGGATCTTCGCATTTCGGCAAACACTAGAAAAGTGAAGTAAGTAGAAATTTAAAAAAAAAGCAAGGTCAAGATCTTAAATTTAAGTCTAAGGATTTGTTTATATAAATTTGAAAGCCTTATTAACACTGCAGGTTCAGAATAACATTTATCTGTGAAGGCCAGTACTCACACCTCCAAAGCAAGTTGCACATCTCAGTTATTGATACATTGCATTGCAACAGGATAATGCTTTGGTCAGCAAAAAGATGCTGTGAAATGCATTAAAAATACCCATTAAAGTACCAAAAAACCTAAGCACCTTACACCTAATAAGCAATTTTAAAGGGCTTTTTCTCCACAAACAAGAAGCCAAAATAAAACATACCAGCGTTCTCCGTCTTTTGTGAAATATTCACCAGGTTCCAGGTATGATCCCTTGTAATAACATGGGCACTGGGAGATGGGCACACAGTTATCATGCTTATCCAAGTACGTATTGGGTGGGCAGCCACAGCCATCCACAGGAGCAAAGTCTTGCAAGCAATACTTTTCACCATCAGCAAGGGAACGACAGGTTTGCTGGCACATTGTAAGATTGTAAAGGAAGACTTGATTTCCAGGGCAAGAAGATGCTTCACTGCCTGGAGGGGAAAAAAAACAAACTGATAAATAAAGAATGCAGGATGGACAGTTTGGCATTGACATTTCCATTTTGGTTTCTTTGGCTGTGCTGAATGTAGTGATAAAAACATTCCCTTAGACCTTATTAAAGTACAAAATTATCAGAAGTTACAAGTAACGCTAATCTAATTTTACCAGTTGAAGACTTAATTTTAACTGCTACTAATAGTTTCTACTTTCATACCCCTATTTATTTCACATACTGATAATCAGATACAGAGCACAATACAATAAACTTCCAGTCTCAAACATACTGAATTGTTGATGAAAAGCAAGCATGATCAGAAAGAAAGACATTGCTAAACAAATGCATGGTAAAAGCCCTGATGGCTGGGATTCCATTAGTAAACAGAATTATAATAGAAAGACTGGGAAAAGAAGGTGAAAGTTAAAAATATTGATTTCTACTTTTAAGTATAAAACTTTCAGATTACATCTGAAGAATATAACATGAATTAGTAAACTTTATCAGCATTGTCCTTTTTAGGTCCCTTAGACATTTCTAAGATACTCCAAATCCCTTAACAGTGAGATCGCTGACAACCAAATTCAGAGAGAGCCTCTTATTTCTCATGGTTAATTATTTCTACAGGGATTACTGTTCCACTACTTACTGCAGACACTCTTTCTCCAGTCTCCCAGTATGATCCCTTTGAAAGCACAGGCTCTTGAGTAAGAGGACAGGGCAGCACACAGACATTCTTCATTGTCTTCACAGAGGCAGGTGTCATATTTACATTTCTGATAAAAAAGAACAAAAGGGTCTTTAAGTCATTAAATCAATGGGCAATTGCAACTTGATTGCTACAAAATGTCCTGTTTTCCTGATGTTTGTATTAATTCCCATGACCAGAGAACAATGGAAGGAATAGAGAAAGACCAGAAAGTTAAAGTGCTGCTTCATTTAATACACAATGAAAATATTTGGATGTTCATTCTAACCTAAGCCAAGCCTCTTGAATCTTTAAAAAGTAGCCAGCCTCCTAAGAGCACCTTTTTCAAAGGATATTAATACCATTTGTTCTCGGTTACTAATTAGAAATGCAGAGATCCACAAAAACTAGAATAATAAAGGCAAAATATTAACCAGGTCTATGAAGACATTAACAAAGTTTGAGCTTACACTGACTTCCAAGTATAAGCAATGATTTTGGAATTCCTTTTCCTCAGGTAAGCCTCACTTACTGCTCAACAGAAATGAGCATGGAGAAAAAGAATTCATGGAGATTCTGGCATGAAAATGATTTGGTGTTACATTCCAACCACGTACTGGTTGGAATGTTCCCCTCAACTTTACAGAAACTAATGTTTAAGGGTAGGCTTAGACTGTGCACAAGTGCAACTCTTGAATCTTCTTTTCAGTCCAAATATCCAAGATAATAAAAATGTACATGAAACACAAAACATAAGAAAGCAAAAGAAAAAAAATGTACATTTTTATTCAGCAGCAGCCCATAAGGATCTCATCATATTAGATACTTTGGATGCTATGTTGCTTGAATCGGTCAATGCAGAAACTTCAGCGTCTCTTATGGACAAACTACCCACTGATATTTCAAATGTTCAAACAATGATAAATGTCTGCACTTAACTATCTGAAATAATGTAGTACTAAAAGAGTGCAAAATTACAGTACCTTATAGTATTCTGAAGGATCAATGGCTAAGTGACATCTTGCAAAAGGACCCTTTGGGTTTCTCAGCAAAGAGCACCAATGCTCAGCATAATTTGCTGAAAAAAAAAAGGAGAAATTCGTCACCTTTCCTTATCTTCTTTGTGCCAAGCCTACTTAATGCTGACACATAAATGCAGTGCAACAATACAAATGAGAGAACTGTGTGCATTTTGGGTAGTGGAGAAACAACATGCAATCACCATACATGTACTTCTAATCCTTGATTCAGAGACATGCAATCATAAAATCAAAAATTGCACCATACTTTTGCAACTTGTACACATGGAATTGTGACAACTTCTTCCATTTGGGGACCATAAAGCTAAGTTAAACATAAGGATAGATAATGCTAGGAGATACAACCTGTCTTCGCAGATAAGACAAATTAATGATTGTTTTTCTCATTCTTCCACCCAAGGATTCTTTTACAGTTACCCCTTAAATATTCACTTCAGTTTGATGAAGTGTTTGTATGTATACCTACTTGCATATATTAATGATTAATTTTACAGTCCTGTAAAAAAAATCTTCACCACCCCACTACAACTCTTACACAGCTGTTGCAGTAACGCATAGCAGGCACTGCTCATCCTGGCAGAAGCCGACCATCTGACTTATTAAATGTGCTTACCACTTTCAATGCTGAGACTGCAGGGGTCTTCCAGCTTTTCTGCCTGGTCTGTGCAGGTGGACTGAGCCTTCCATGTGTTAGCAAAGGCAGATCCTGTAGCCTCAATCAGCCCACTAGTTGTTCTAAAGTCATCACCTTCCTTTCCGTTGAAGTTTCCACAAAGACCTATTTGAGAACAAGGTAAAAAATTCACATAAGCATTACTTATTCCATACTATATCTGTGCTTCAAGAGATTACTACCCTAACCCATATTTTTTATGCTTTCTGATGATATTGAAACCACAAAATACACCAAAAAACTGGTTTTGTGGATAGTTAAAATTTAAACTGAATACAAAAGTAAGGAATATTCTAAAAAACATCTATGTACTGGCACCAGAGTGATAGGTAATTTCAATATCAAAAAATAAAAACCCATTTCTAGTCTGCTTGATTCAATTTTCTTTCAGTTTTCTCCCCTTGAATTAACAAGTAGTATGAGTAATCACTCATAAAGAGTGATTATTCAGCTGTGAAACAGCACAGCTTTGCTTCGCATTTGCATAGAGACTTGCCTTGAAGTTTTCCTTTAACTGATTGATCCACAGTCACAAACAGCTGCATGACTTGAAACAGCTGGATCTGCATCTGAAGCCCAAAAGAAGTTTGTACAACAAGGTAGCTGGAAGATGGCTTGAATACTGAGAAGCTGGCTGAAAAACAAAATATGAACTGTTGTAGTAAACAGACACACAGGTTGCCAAAAGCCAAAGCACTTCTTATTAGATTCTCATGTATCACCCAGTATGAAATCTCTGATACCAGGATCAAATTAATATTTATTTTCCTTTAAAAATCACTGACCAACTAGATATGATGCTGGTCCTCACAAACTTAACAAGTTTATTTCTTATATTGACTGATCTCTGGGATCAGAACCAAATGGGCAAGTCCACACCATGTAACCAGGTTTGGAAAGTGCTAAATACCTCTATTCCACTTTTGCCTCTGTAAAAATACATCCCTGCATGAGAAGTTGGGTGTGTGACACTTGACATACAAGGCTGTGTCCCTTACCTGACACATGAGGCACATTCACTGTCATCTCATTCAGGAGCACACTGCCATCTGATCTGAAAACCACCACCTGTGTAACGGCAAACAGAATCAATGAGGTTTCAGGGACTGAGGAAAAGGAACCAATACAAAGAAAATTAACAGGAAGTGCATTTTACACATTTAGGCTTCATCTAGAGCTCCACATTTTTGAAAGAAAAATCTATCTGAAAATTGAACCTGGAAGCAGCCCTAGAGGGTATATGTAAGGTATCGTCTTACTATTCAGTGTTTCTCTTACATCTGCCTAAAGAATTCACAGCAATAATGAAAGGAAACACTCATTTATATTGGGAACTTTGGTTTCAGCAAGTAAAAGAAAATACTAGGTCTTCAGGATCTGTAGCAAGTTCTTATTCCTTATTAAAGCCTGTGCTACAGCTTCTGTGTGATGGTTAATATGATTCTGACATGGTAAGAAAGCAGTTTATTAAACTTCCTCAGATGCTACTCTGTACACATAGAAACATAAAATTATTTGATCTTGGTTTTCTTATGTTCTATTAATGCTGGCAAGAACAAGGAAATTCATAAATATGTGAAGAAAATCATGTGTATATGTATGTAAATTATGTATAGAGATAGTCTATATATTCTCATAAACAAAGAATACTAAAGTGAATATTTGAGAAGGTTGGATTGTATCACCATTCAAAGACAGTCTTTTTCTTCTGAAAAAGACTCAATTAGATCTATAAAATTATATCTGAATTAAGAAAAAAACTATGAGGGAGAGAAGAATGCTACTCTTCTCTCCAGACACCTGGAATTTTGTGAGAATAATCATATTGCACAGAGCAGAGGAAAGAGGAGGGGGAAATGTCACTTGTTTTGAGTCTTATTTTTTCTTAAGTTTAGGTTTATTTTGAATTCTCAAGGCAGAAACCCGAGCTGTTTGTCAGCCTGCCTGAGGTTCCTTATCTCTCCACAGTAATGACTCCAGAAGAAAAAAGTATTCACCCACATTAAGGGAAATATGCTAATTTTCAATATATCTAGCAGAATCCAGAGAACAGCACTTACATTCTTTTTGTTATCCACTAACAGCACAACATTCTTCAAGCAGGTCTGTTTGTCCGTGGAACCACAGGGAGCCAGCTCTGCCAGGAGAGCGTAACTTTCATTTGCAGTATCCTACAGTCACAGGGAAAGAAGTTTCCATTAGTCAAATTAAAAATCTCATGAGATGATTTCCACAACAAAGACTAAATTCATCAGTCATATTATAACCTTCACTCTAGATTTTCCTCATTCTCTAGGAGAATGGACACCAGATATTTTAAGGATGAATGAAACAGCTGCCTACTTCTTTTCCCTACCTGACTTTGACTCAGAAATAGGTATTACAGAAGTGGCAAAGAATGTCTAATCCTGACACCTTTTGACTTCTTAAATACAAAGGACTCCACTGGATAATGACAGCATAGGCAGTCTTCTATTTCACTGAGTTAATCAACCATCGCAGTAAGTCCCCAGCTTCCCCTAGGGCTATTACAGCTAAATCCCGAATTTTCTAGTACAGCTTCCAGCATTTCTGCTTTCCTTGCCTTATGGAAGTGGCCTTATGGAATGTGCTTCATTCTACAAGAGAACAGCCCCACAGTACACAGTACCTTGGCCAACACATAGTAGCAGTCTCCATGGAAGGTGTACTTCTTCCCATCAAAGGTGGTAATATGGGAACCTCCTTCCACTGAGCATGTGCCTGGGCAGGGTAAATCTTTGCAGGTCCATCTGCCTGAATTACAGGTGCTATAAACAGACAAATTATACAAAAAATGCTTGTAGTTGTTACAGGAGCTGGCATCACTGAAAGTATCTGTATATCTGGGAACCAGCAAGCTATTCCCAGGTGTTTTAGAACTGTAGCCTTGACCATTTCCTTGAGATTTTCCCTCTGACATATGCCATAGAATCAAGAAAACTTTTCAGAAATTTTGTTCTATAGACATGCAACATAAACATTAAATTCAGAGTGTTTTCAGGCCATCTGTCATGACCAACTGGTAATTTGAAAAATGCAAACCCATTTACAATCATTCAAAGACGAATGTAAAACAACCAGGATCCTTACCATTCTTCACATTCTTTGGAAATGCTTTCTCCAGGTGCATACGCCTTTCCACCATGTTTGCAGTGGCACTGGCTAACAGGGATGCAGCCTTTTTCACTGATATCATCATACACAGTTCCTATAAAACACAACATTAAATATTGCAGCTCTTTTCCAAATAAGCAATTTCCACAGAGGAAAAACTCTAATTTTCCACACAGGCTGAGTTTTATCTAAATTGTGAAGAATACTGTCTCTATTTTTTGTAAATAAGACAGAGGGAAAGCACTTTTATTCAGCTTTGAAAATCCAAGCCTGTTCATTTATAACTATACATAGATAAAAAGGTTATTGCAAGCTTATAAGAACAATCTCAGAATGTCACATGTTTAGATTTTTAGTCTTTTTGTCTGTGAAGATTATCACTGTGATCTTCTTTCCTAAGGTTAAGGTTGATGGCAAGCCTGAGAATTTCACTTGCTGTCCCTCACTGCCACTCTCTGGGCAAATTATGTCCATTGTCTCCATTGTCTCAGAATTATTCAATTTAAAATGCATGATTTACTATATAGGATCAAAACCCCACTAGTTGAGAATTAAAAAGCAGGTTTATTACCTGACACTGTGTTCATATGTTTGAACTATAAAATAATTGATTAATTAATCAATTATTACCTCCTTAGAAAATTTTACAGTTATGTTCCTCTAGGGAGGAAAATAAGGAGTATCACTACTCGTTTCTACGATATTATTTGACTATATGTAGTATTTTAGTAAGACTCCTTTAGCCAGGGCTCTTGCTTTTGTCCCAGGTGCAACAGCTAGAATAGCACTTGCCTTCAGGGCAGAAACAGCCATCCATGTAGTGCTCCTCACAAAGGCTGCTGATCTCCAAGTGTGAGCAAGTATCCATGCAGGGTGAGCTGCTTTCTCTATAGACCATGGTAGCAGGACAGCTCTTGGCTGAAGGAATAAGAAAGACACCATGAGTTATTTGACTTAAGTTCATCATTCCTGAAACCCACAAATCATACATCCTACTCCCTTCAAGCCAGTGGTGTCTCAAGCCAGACTCCACATGGAAAAGCATGTTCATCTAGTTCTGAACTGTTTTTTATATTTACTTCTTTTGCTTTCAAATAGATCAAATTATTCCCATCTCCTGCAGCATCAAATCTTAGTTTTTTTTAATGGGAGCAGAATATGCCGAAAAATATTTCTTAATAGCAAAGTAACAGTAGGAAAAAAAAGGGAGAACATCATATTTTTAGCACTACTGGTATGAAATTTATAATACATGCCAACAGTTTTGTGAAGAAGTAATGAATTTAAATTTCATGGTTCTACATGCATGAAACATTTGGATCTTTGTAAAATTTGTGTAGCTGCTTACAGCAAAAGTTCTGTGTCCTCCATTCTCCCGGGCGGCCGCCTGCGTGTGAACACTGGCGGGAATACTCAGAGATGGTGCTGCAGAGGCAGAAGGAGTCCTCCTTCCCATTACAGGCACACTTGTCCTGCATGCAGGCTTGGATGTACATTTCCAAATTCAGACGTAGCCGACAATCGGCAAATGCGGGGGAAGTCAGCAACCTCTGACACTCATCACGCTGAGGAGGAAGGTGAATAATGTTTAAGAGATTTTTAAGCATTTGAGTTTCTGGACATTTCTTATCTTGAAAAAAAACCTGTTGTCTTTTGAACAGCTAAGAAAAAGTAACCATTTATCCTGGAAGGGAGAGTCCTTCCAGCTCCTTGCAACTAACTCCCTGCTGCACAAGGATGTCTCCATGTGCCCATGTAAATAAAGTTCACCACAAGGAATACTTACATGCTCATTACAGCTTGGAAGAGCCTGAGTTTCATCTGGATCTTCACATTTGGCATTGGGTTTGCTGATCTTCTGCATGTTCCCATATGTAATTGAGTTGTAGCTTGCATCTATGAGAAAAAAATGTAAAGAGAACTTTCTGAGCTCCAAAAATTGACAAGGAGCACCTGATTCCTGAAACTCTATTGATTAAGGGAAACAGTTACTATGATATCAAAGATGCCTGTCAGACACAGGTACCTGCTCCGAATGATGTCTAACTGTGCTCAAAAATGTAAAAGGGAAACAGGAAAAGAAGGCTAGTAAAGAACAAAAAGATTAATCTGGAACAGAATAAATTTAGATCAGGAATGCAGCACTGGAACTTAATGTTTAGTCTGGGGCAATCACAGAAACCTCTCAAGTGAAATTTGCTCTCCTGTGTTTCTATGCACAGGGCTTGCCAGCCTATCTTCAGTGACAGTTGTCAGTATGGTGGGATGACACACCTCCATTGATGAACTCGTTGTAGATTTGAATTCCATTGTAATCCCCACAGAGACCACAGGTATGGTTATTAAATTTGTTGTCCAGCTCCACCTAAATAACGAAAAGAAAAAGGAAAAATGTAAAAGAATTATCTTTTTTTCCTCCTTTTCTCCCCTCCTTCTTTTTTTTTTTTTTTCCAACTGAGATAGAGAAATATCCCAGGAAACCCAGGAAATACCAATTAAAAATACTTTGATCATACATACCATCAGGGCATCCTGCTGGTTCCACATCAGAACCATGCCTAATTTGGCATAAATCTTGGTGTAAATTTCATTGCTCTCAATGAGGACACCAGAGGTGTAGTAAGGTGTCTTCACACTAGAAGAAAATCACAGACATTGCATTAGTTAGGAAACTTAAGGGCTGACATGAATGTCTGCAATAAGCCAAATACCACAAGGAATAGAGAAACTAGTCTGACTACCTCATCCTAACTGCACAGGATGCCTTGTTTAATGAGACATAAAGTCTTTTCTTTCTGACACTTGGGACAATAACTCATTGAAAAAACTCATTTATAAGGCAAAGCAATTTCAGAGGAAAAGCCTACCCAACACTTCTGTCTCTTTAACTCAAAAAAACCCAAAATGTCAGATGTCTTTAAATTAATCAAAGAAAAACCATCATCATTGTGGTATTAACAGAGGATATTCAAACACTCACTAATAATTTACATCAATGAAAGGAGCTACAACATAATTTACAGTGTTTCTTTACCAAAATATCTCAGCCAATTCAGAGAGAATCAATGTTCCATTGCCAGGAACTGCCTCCTTAAGAGAGAGTTCAGAATGCACAGGCAGTTACAGGGACTGCCAACAAAATTTTGAAAAGAAAGGAGAATGTTAAGAGGAATTCAGTAGCTCTTTCAGTAGTTAGTTACTTTGTTTTAAGTGTACAGGACTGAGCTTGTTAATGGTGACAGAAGACAGTTTGCAGAGGGCTGAGCATAGATATTTTTGTGTGATAACAATTCATGTCTTACAAGCAAATCGAACTGCTGAATTTCATTCAGCAATAAAAGGATTGTGGCAGGCAGTCTTATCCTTTAAAATCTAGAGGACTAGAGTCTGTTCAAAAAGCAGTAATGTAAACTGGAATCCAATCAAAATAAGTGGTTAATTTTGTACAGATTAATCAATGTAATTTCTATCCATCAGGATTCATGCATGTGTATGCACATCTCTTAACTAGTCTCCTGACTGGGAGAGCTTTATCTCCTAATTTTTTGTCACTGGGGTTTTTACAGCTATTTACCTCAGACATTTTTTAACGTGTCCAAATGACTTACACATCTAGGTACAAACTCAGAGATCATTATTTCTACTTTTGACTGCATTGTTCATCAATAAACAATGAAGTCTTGATAGATTATGTTTCTTGAGGGGGAGCATAAAATGTTGGACATCTTTTCAGCTTTTAACTATCACAGCACGGAATATTTATCTTTTTTTCTAATAGTAGGACATTCAATCAGTCAGTGGATCAAGTACCTGGAGGCTAATCCATACACTTTGCTACTTCACAGTTTTCACTTCAGCCCTGCAAAATGCTATTTTACATGACATTTGATCATTTATCATTTCAGGATCAATACGGAAAATTAAGTTCTACAAAAAAATAAATTCAATCCAAGCAGCAAAAACCTGTTCAGCAGAGATCTGTTGTTTTATGACAGTAAAGTTTATCTAAGATAAAAATGGCTTGGTTTAAGAGAAACAGTTATAAAAGGATTTCTAACTTGTTTTTCATGGAGTTCTTTTTAAGACTTGAGTACACAATTAAGAGCTTTTTCAATTTGAGGCAAGAATTAATTTTTTGTAACTTTCTTCCGTTTTCTCATGCATTCTAATATAATTTTTGGAAAACTGAATGTTACCTTCAATCTCTGAACATATTTTCATTGCAGTGGCTTGCGAACTTTAGAGCAAAAGTTGAATTCTGGGCAAAACTGAGTTCTCCAATGACAAATAAAAAGTTCTCTTTTTTTCAATTATGCTAAAATATACTAATTAACTCATGAGTTGCTTCAGAGTATAAATGCACACACTACAAGGATACACCAATGATAGGAAAGACTAGGTGAAGACACTACTTAGCATCAGTAACGGTGTCAGACAAGCTTCTTGTTTAATCATGTTATAGAAGGAGAAAAATAACACTGCTTAGTCTGAAAAAATTACATATTGCCACAGATAAATTAGTGTAAATTTTGACCTGTGATGTATCTACTAAACTCCCTTGAGAAATGGCCATCAGATCTTAAAGAATTATTTATGAAGATCAGAAAAAACTACCCTCTTCTGTCAGAAAATAAAAGGAAAAAAACACAGAGAAATGCATTTACTTTTCAAGGATTTGCTAGACCATCTGCTAAGGTAAAACTCAAGATGATGCCATTAAATAAATGAAGTTATGTCATTTTAAGACAGTGAAAAAACTGGCACCTAAGCTACACTGTTTTCTGCACAACTGGAAGAACAATTTACTCAGACATATTCCTGACTTTATTTATTTAATGAGATTATTTAAATAATCCCTTATGCCAGTGTAGAAATGACAATTAAATCTAAAGCCCCTCCCCAAAGCAATTTTAATGCTGAATTTCAAAAAGATTTTTTGTTTGTTTGTCTGTCTGTGGAAATTCTTTGTAGCAGTTTCTCCAGTGGTACACAGACAGTTGCATAAAAAATCAATTCTGCTTTTATCTTCCCAGCACATTTCTCTGAATACCATTATAGTAAAGGAACTTACATCCGCCCTTCCACTACAACCAGGTTTGGTTTGAGGTAGACCATTATATCCTTGATTTTCATCAGAATATACTGGATCTCAGGATGGCCATTGCTGTTGAGAGCACGCTGGATGTGGACAGAGAATTCCTTGTAAGCCTCTCGACAGTCGGAAACAAAATTGTACTCGCAAATGCCAGGGAATTGGTAGATGTCTCCATCAAAAGTTTTGAAATGGTTGTTTCCCCAAGTGCTGCAGACATAGTGGCCATGGCTTCTTGTCCTTCCTGTTAAGTGATGAAAAAGAAATAGATATGAAAAGAAGTGCAAGAAATGCTCTAGTGTTAAAAAAGGTAAGTGTTTCATTTTACGGTAGGGACCACTTGCAATTATGTGCACAGTGATTCCATAGATTTCAAGCCTCATCAAGTATCCGCCAGGTCAGCAGAAAATATTAAAATCTTTAAAGTTGAATAAGATATTAATAAATAATTCTGAGACCATGGTATATCCTGTAATCCTCACTAACGTGAAGGAACTTATCTGCATGAGGTGAGGAAACTTAATACTGACCACTAACTTGGTTTCTGTGCCAAGCATATGATTTTATTCTGAATCACAGTATTATTTTTATCAATATTGAATTTTTCCAAGAACCATCTTCTTTCCTAGTGCAACATGTACTAGAAACGAAACAGGTGGGAAACCAAGAAAGTACTACCTACTCTGGAAGGCAAATAGTTTAATAGTTATGAAAGGGCTTGTGCACAACAGGAGATTTCAGGGAATTATTTATTTTCCTAAAAGCAGTAGTGATTCCTATTGCTGCAAGACAGAAATTTTTCAGAAGATAGGTCAGAAAATAGCCATAGTAGGAGGAGAAAAATAAAAGAAGTTTTTGCAATAGCAAAATATGAAGATGATTTGTTCCTTTCCCAGCCATCTATACCAACAAATAATACAAATTAACACAATATCTGATGAATCTCCAGATACTGTAAGTTAGGGGCAAATCATAAAAGCTGATCCTCCTTGGGAATCTTGATATATCTTTCATCTTCACAAGATTTTCTTGGATCATTTAACATGAGAAAGCAAAACTACTAAGGACACCTCTAGGTTACTATACTTTGATGGTATCAATCATACCAGATACATCCAGCCAAGCTGGAATGCTTCCCTCCCCAGAAGAAAGGCTACACAGAGATCCTCCCTGGAGGTCACAGCTGGAAGACCAAATCCAAGGTAAAGCTATCCTCCCATTGCTGAATTCAAGACACAGCAGACCAAGTTCAATAGCCCAAACCTGATCATTGGATATAGTTCATCACCTTTTTCTCTAAAAAGCAGTTTTCAGTAAGAGTGCTCCATTCCATTACTTCAAATTTTACAGCAAATACAGTAAGTTAGAGCTTTTGGAAAAGGATTTAAAATGTCCTAAATGACAAAATTAGTTTTTTTCAATGTTATTACATTCATTTTTGAAGACCAACTTGTGTTGTTCCAAAGTAACAGAAGACACAATCATTCATTTCCTTCATTGCTTTAACAATGAACCTCTCAAAGTCCTACAGTTACTTTCTGTCAAGTTGTTGCCGTACCTAGTAAAGACTCAATGCATGGAAAGAAAAGCAACTCTGAAAGTATTTTCCAAGCACATCAAACTAGAAATCAATGTAGTAGATACAGGCACTAACTTCTCCAAAGAAAGTAGTATCTACCAATTTTGTCCACGCAATGCAGCCTCAATATTTGAAAGCTTAAGCAATTTAAGGCGTCCTAAAACTCCAGAATATTATTTAAATGCACTGCCTCATTCCAGCTCCACAGCTCTCTCCCTCTTTTCCAGGAGGCAGTCTGCTACCATTCCATCTCTAGAGCTTACCTTTCTTTATTTCATTAGCAGAGGAAAGAGCCAGCCAGAGGAGGAAGAGGCTGGCCACTCTTAGCCCCATGGTGGCTAAGGAGGGTGAATGGGAACTCCACTGGAAACTCGGCTTTTTATAATAGCCACTGAGGCAATTGATTCTATCACAGGGAGGAGATTCAAAGGGAGGAGGCAAGAGGAGGGGTGAAAAAACAGATGTGATATTTGCAGAAGATAAGAAGTAAACAGACAATCATTTTTCACCATAAATGAAGGAATTCAGCATAAGGAAATAGTATAATATTGATTCAGTAATCATGTAATTTTTTATTGCTCTATTTCATCTACAGGATGCTGTGCTTTTAAATCCTTCAAATGTTCACGCCAAGTTAAACCCTCAGCAACTCCCATAACAAACAATGAATTTTGGGGTGGATGAACAAAGAAATCCCTTGAAGACATTTTAAGGTGAAACCCTAAAATAGAGGCTTCAAAACCAAAGAATTTTTTCATCATCGGATGAAATGATTTCTGTAAAAAATTAAGTGATGCTTGTGAAGCTCTTGGTAATTAACAGTAACCCTTGCAAATAAAATGGCACATCATGTGTTGTAAAATTATTTTGCAGGCATTTATTTGATTTCTTTAATTTTAAAAGCTCTTGGGAACATCTAAACCAAAATACTGCTCATATTGCATATTTTACCCAAAACATAATTGAGACTGGGTGACACAGTAAGTTCAAAAATTTTACAGTAAAAGAGGTGCTCCTTCAAACCTTATCATGGTGCAACAGACTCTCCATCAAAGTTGGAGAGATTCTCACTAGTATTAACTTTAGAGAAAAAGTAAAAAAAAAATAAGGAAAAATGGAAAAATATTACTGTCCCTAATCCTGCTAAACATTCTTCTTCATTCTGGCTTACTTTCTACATAAATGATAAATTTACAGTCTGCTGTCACACATCAGATCCTACAAAAGCTATGGGGTCAGGTTTGCTCTGTGCAGAGAAAGATGGGAGGGTCATTGGGAGAAGAAAGAAAGTAGAAAACAGAATCAGGAACCAGTTCAGAATGCTGCTTCAGAAATAGAAGATTTTCACATGCACATGATTTTGTGCTGAAAAGTTCCTTTGTGAAGGTCTTTCTGCAACTGTCTTCAGAAGACAAAGACAAAAGACAGGCTCTTTGAGATAAAGCACACTTCCTTCAAGACATCTTGTAACACATCTACTTCATAGCATTAACAGGGTTTACTTCTTAAAGCTCCCAGGCCAGTCTCTACATTTCCTCATCAAAAAATTTTCAATGCAGTGAAAAGAAATCTGTAATCCTCTTCATCCTTTAAAATATTTCTTACTTTCATTAATTATATTACAAGTAGAACTTTTATATTTTTCAAAACATCAAGGAAACTTTTTACTTAGCCCTTTTGACTGCTCTAGTCAACTAGAAACATCCTCTTATCATAAAAGCATATTCTTTAGCTGATTTTTTTTTATTTAATAATTTCATCTCAACTATAGCCTAGACTCCATCTGAACATCTTCCTGTTTTTCTTCAATACATCTCAAAAGGTTTTAGATTTTTTCCTTTCTCTATCTGAGAATACAAATTTGCACTTCTCTTACCCTTACATAGTGTATCACTCAATAGTCCTGGCTGAAATTAAGTAGTAGCCCTTTTCTCCCTCATGAGTCTAACAGTGGAAGATTATAACTTTTTTTCCTTCTTGGAAAATAAAAATAAACCCAGTAATAATTAGAAATAGTAATAATTACAATAATTACGTATAGTAATAATATGTAATAATAATAGTAATAATTACAATAGTAATGGTTGGTTAGAACCAACCATTCATAGAAAACAAAGAAAAACCACAGTCTACAGAGATCTTTCCTCAGTGGTTACTTTACCAGACTTAACTTGTTAAGATATCTCAGAGACATCTCCCAACTTGGAATTTTCTGGTTTTTATGCCACCAAAACTCTTAGTTTGGACATGTTTTCTAAAAACATTTAGGAGAGTCCCAAAGGACTGTATTTTGAGCTTTTATTTTCCTCCCTGTGTTTTTCTAGGTAGTCTCTTGGCTAGAACTATCACCTCAGAAGAAAAAGTGTTTCCATTACTTATGTACACAGTAAACCTGACCCCTTTTTAGATTAAAATGGATGTGTATGCTGACAGATGTAAGTTGGAAACTTGCATATTTTCCATTCAGATTTCTTTGCCATGAAACTTCTAGACATCAATGGAACCAGTCTCATTCATTTGTTGGGACTGGGAAAGGTAATCATCCTTCAACTGAAGTTGCACCATATCTCAGTTCAATGTGCCAGTATTTTTATCATTTTTATATATTCTGTGTAGGAGAAGAGCTATTTTTAGCTAAGCATCTCTGAATTTTAGAGACTGATTTACTCTGCTCCAGCTTTGTCCTGCCTGTACAGGAAGCATGATTCCTTCTTGAGCTATAAAGTTACACAGGACAATTTTCCTTCTGCAGTCTTTGCTTCTCAGAGTGACCAACAATTTCCCACTGTCCCTTCTTCTGACATATATGTGGCTTGCTGTGACATCCCAAACTGGAGAATAAGGGCTATCAACATGTCTTTAAGCACTCAGATCACTCTTACAGAATTCACACTTGAGTTTACATGACTGTGATGATCTGAAGAGAAATAAAGACATTCTTATCTCCAAAAGTTTTGGGTATTTGTACTTTTGCTAGCATTAGAAGGTGTCCTAAACTATACTGTCTCTGTTTCCTTATTGCCAGAAGGGTAATGATCCTGTCTACCATCTGTTTTATATGTCTTTCAGAAATAATCAGTCTTTGAGGTAGACATCAGAGCCTGGTTTATTTCTTGCTCAGCTACCTTAAAGTTTTTTAATCCAGAAGAACCTTACTGGTTATACACAGATAACATCTGTATGTATGCATTAATGAATTTACCATAAATTACTTGACAACCTGAAGGAACCAACCATTTTGCAGCAAAGTTAATTCCACTTTATCATTATTATTTTTGCCCCAAGCTTATATAAGTTATCTATACCTAAGCTGACCATTCTGTGGAACTTCATGCCATTCCTGCTTCTAGCCATCTTAATCAGAAGTCACCTTCCTCTTTCCAATTTCAGATGTTCAGGTGCTTTTATTACCAAACATATTACTTATAATTCTGCATGCTGTCACTATGCAAGAGGCAGCAGAACTAGTGACAAGAAGAAGGATTTTCATATTTAGGTTCCGCAGCTGAGTATTAACAGGAGTGGTTTTCTTTGAATTCCTGAAACCCATGAGTAGCAGTACAGCTTCCCATAAGCTTCCACTATATGTCTGACTTAGGAGCCCCAACACTAGTGCTACAACAATCACTGCTAGATTCCAAAGCATAAAAAAGAAAAGCTGGTTGCATGACAAGTGTGTTTGTTATAGCAGCAGATGCAGAAGCAGAGATAAAAGATGTGTTTTGAGTCATGGTTATGTCAATGCATTGTTTCCCTACCCTTAAACTTTTATGACACTATTTTCAATCATTCCATCAACATAGCTAATCTTTAACGTTCATTTAGTTACAGGGTAAATTTATTTTGCAATATACTTATTTTTAAAATGAGATTCTACATGGAAGATTATCTTAATTCTGAATCACACTGCAGAAGAAAAGGGCCTATATTATAATTTATGTAACTTTGAGATGGAATTCAGCTGAGACCTGATTTGGTTTATTGTTTTAGGAAGAATAAACAAATTTTCAAGAATGTGGGGTCTGTTTCTATTAGTTAACATACTAAGAGGAAATCTAATTACAGTCTTGCCACAGCAATCGCAGGATGACCACTGTACAAATTCCTCAAAAAGTACAATTACACTTGGTGACTGAGATCTTTTCCATATCTGTTTTTGTAGTCCTGACTTGCTGATCACAGGCTGCCAAACCAAGCAGCAATGTTCTATCAGTAATGTTGTTCTGCAGAAGTGGCCACAGGATTTTGTTCTGATGTTCTTCCACCCACCAGAATTTCACCAGAGCACACACAGCCTTACACATGATCATACAACTGCAAAATATACACATCACTCCTTTTGTTTCAAGCACAGATTGTCTGAACTGGGTTGCTGGAACTCTCTTCGCAGTGATTCTAAAATAGCTCTGGTAAAATCTAGCCAAATTATGAATTCAGAGATGTATCATACACAATCACTGTATTTCCTTCACTGAGGCATTTAAGCCTTCTACAGCATATCTTGACAAAAACTTAACAAGCCACAGAGACAAGCAGCAGAAGGCTGAACAGTGCGTGAAACTGTTAAAGCAATGACATAAAAGTAATGCGGGTGAATTTCATTTAGACATGCACACTGCCAACAGATTAATCCAAAATTATCAACAGAAAAGGAGTCAACATTTAGATGGATGTAAAACTGAAACAGAATTAATTTCATCACTGTAACCTTGAGCAGCCTTTGGGTTATGGGCATTACCTTTCATTCCAACAAATACAATATTGTAAGGTATCTGCTGATGCTGGCTGCAGTATAACATTCTCACATGCCCTTCCTTAAGTGGTTTGGCATAGAAATTTTAAGAATAGCATCCATTTTCCACTCATAGTACTTCCTTCTTTGGAAGTCAGCATCTCATCCTCTGAGAATAAAATTGCAAAACATTTCCTTCTCTTCCAGTTAGATACAAGTGGGGATAAACATGTGACACACAATTACTGAAGATTAGGAAGAGATGTAGGAAATAACTTCAGTGAGTAAGCTTTCCTACCAACACTCAACTTGTAGAAAATTTTAGTCTTCAAATTGCCTCTGCACAGAGGCTTCTACATCAATACACAAGGAAAAATATTTGACAATTTAAAATAATATTAGAGCAGTTCTGCTTTGCTCAAGCATCTGTGAGATTTACTACAGGGAAATGGACTGAGCCAAGAAGAGATGGCATGGAAAAGGCATCAAGGGAATTACATTTCACATACCTTACTCTAGTAATACACATACCATACTCTGGTAATTTTGCCCCAGGGGATCAGAATTTTCCAAATCTTTTATTTTCTCTGTAGGAAAAAGT